TTCCCAGATGCCTTGGCCAATTGCTACTAGTGCGTCAAGGTGCTCGCGACGCACCCGCTCCTCGACTTGCGCGGCTTCGTTCACACTGGAAGCGTGAAAATCATCAATGGCGCGGACAGCGCGCACAGAAGAGGAACCTTTAAACTTCCACCCCTCGTCCACTCCGAAACGTGGAGAACACGCCGCCTCGCTGAGTGTCGCCGACAACGGCGTCCATCTAGCTTTACCTGCTACCACCTCGGCTGCCGTCTGCGCCCGCAGTGCTGCTGCCGCTTCTTCATCCGACAGGGTAGAAGAAGCCGCTCTCAAAATCAGCGCTGCGTTGTTCGCAGGGGCGCGTCGCCAGAGTTCCTCTAACGACAAGGGCGGAACAGGCGAGCATGCGGGGAGCGCGCCGCTCGGAGGGATCTCCCCGACGAGCTTGAAACCACGCCTTAAATTTTGTAACTAATTGAGCGTCTGGGCTATTAGATGCCTCCAGCATCTCTGCCAGCAAAAGCAAGTTTTTGTCCGGACCTAGAACGGCTTGCACGTGTGCTGGGAGTGTTCTGAACTCCCGCTGCCATTCAAAATCTGCCACTCGCTTGCGTTCGCGCCAGAAAGCTAAGGCAGACGCCCGGAAGCTGTGTAAAGAGCTCCTGTCCCCACTTTCATGAAGAACTGAGCTGCGCGCGCTGGCAGGCACACGGAAGACGCCTAAGCAAGGAGGCAGGGCAAACGCCCATTTGAAATGGCTCACTGGCGACATGTTAGCAAGTCCATGTACATCTTGCAACAAGCTGTTCACTTCAGCTTGTAATTCACGCAGATCCGCGGCAAAACCGACGGACCCGTCGAGACAATCTTCGCAAGTCTCTTGCGCGAGGGGAGGAGCCGCTGGATGATCCCCAGACGCATCGCTGGCGCTCTGCGAACCAGCTCACCACTTCTTGTCGCCCTTCTTGGCGTTGTCCCACTTCTTGGCATACCAGTCAGCGTTCCCCTGGGGGCTGCGCGAACGCGCAGGAGAGTGGACCTGGCGGCCCTTGGGGTGCTGGGCGGGCAGCTTGCCTCCCTCGGGGGGCCCCTTGCCGCCTCCCTTGCCAGAAGCGAGTGCTGGCCGCGACGGCTGGGAGCCAGAGGCCTGGCCCGTCTTCGCGGCCGCCTTCGCGGTCTCTTTCACGCGCTTGTCAGCGCTGTTTTTCGCGTCCGCCAGCACGCCCCGGTCCAGAGCGCACAGGAGCGTCTCTATCTGCGACCGCTCGTCCCTTTCAAGCTCCCGGGCGAGCTTTTGTCTGAGCAAGAGATCGTAGTGCGTGCACACCCTGAAGCCGCCGCATTCTTCTGCCACCCGGGTGAGTACGATCTGGCACGCGAGCAACTGCGTGGAGGTGATGGCCTTCGCGAGGACCATCTTCACGCCCCAGTCCAGGATATGCCCATGGAACGTAGCGAATCCCACAAAAGTGGCCCTGTCCTCCAAGCTCCTCGTTTTCTTCGCCTCTACCGCGCTGCGCAGCTTCTCCTCGAAGCTGCCGTCGCCGACGGTCACGTCGATCTTGGGTGTGCGCGACCAGGGCGGGCGAAAGGAGACTTGGAGGTCCTCTCCCTCTGCCGACCCAATATAAAGGCGGCCCTGGTCCCGTGCGACCTTGCTGGCTTTCTCCAACCGAATCATAGCCCCCTCCGAGGGCATCATATCTTTAGGGGGATTCCCGAGACCCAGCTCGTCCAGGCGCTGTTTCAGGTTGAAAGACAAGTATTCCTTCTTGGGCTGGTCTCGCTCTTGCGTTGCCTTTGCAAGCGCCTCGATCGCCTTCGCCAGGTGCTCTGGCGAGGTCCTGGCGCCAGGCTCAACGCTGCCAGCCGGGCCGTTGCTCTGAGACCCTGCTGCCCGAGCTTGCACTTTAAGAGCAGCCGTGATGTGCGCAGGGGTGAGTCGCGCATCTTCCCGCTCCGATCCCTCAGGGCCCACTCCACCAACGACGAAGGCGATGACAAACAACACCACGGGCGCTGTGAACAGCACCTGGCCCACCTCGTGGACCACTGGGAGCCTGCAAAGACCCCCCGGTGGAGCGAGTGCACCCCGCAGGGCGCTTGCTCCGCGGCGGCCGTGGTGCCGGGAACTTGCCATCCCGCCCCCGAGCCGGGCGGTGCCCCGATCGGCCTCCGGAGTTGTCGAAGACCACCGCTGCTCCGAGTTGGAGCCAACCAGGCTTTGGAAGAAATCCGCCGCTCCGTCGGGGGCCCAAGCCGTGACTGCCCACGAGTTTACGTACACGGTTAAAGCCATCAATTGATGAACCTACCAACCGTTTTACGTCAGGCGGGGCTTTAGATTTTCCTCCCCATCGAAACCTTTGGTTTAGGGGGTATCAAAAGAGACCCGCCGCAGGCGCCGAATTTTGGGTGGGTCGCGGGTGGGTCGCGGGTGGGTCGAGGGTGGGTCAGGGTGGGTCGCGGTGGGTCGCGGGCGGGTCACGGAGTGGGTCGCGCGTGGGTCGCGGATGGGTCGCCGGTGGGTCGCGGGTGGGTCGCGGTGGGGGGGTTCGGGGTGGGTCGCGGGCGGGTCGCGGGGTGGGTCGCGGGTGGGTCGCGGGTGGGTCGCGGGTGGGTCGAGGGTGGGTCGCGGGATGGGTCGCGGGGGGTCGCGGGGTGGGTCGAGGGTGGGTCGCGGGTGGGTCGCGGGGCGGGTCGCGGGTCGGTCGCGGGGCGGGTCGCGGTGGACGACGACAACAACAACAACATGAAGAATCCGCATCGCGGAATTCCACTTCAGCCACGCACCCAGGGACAGTGAAAGACCTCTCGGTTCAGCCCCCTCACTCTGAGAAACTTTTGGCACTCCGCGCGGATTCCTTGGCTCCGCGCTGGGCCCCCCTGGCGGCGCCCGCGGCGCCGCCCCTGGCGCGCTCCGGAGGGGGGTCCAGCGCAGATCCTAGAAATCCGCGCGGAACTCCAACAGTTTCTGTTTATGTGGTTTGTTGTCCTGGACGCGGGAGCCGCAGGGTTTGCCGCGGATTTGCCATGGTGCCGGCGTCGTCTAATTGAGTGCGTCGAGAGCAAGCGGCGCGGCGACACATCGCGACGGGCGGCTTTGGGAAGTGGTTCGGCTCGGTTTGGGGGCGGACGACCTGGTGGTTGGTGCCATTGTGGTTATTGCTGCTTGCCTCCACAGTCAGAAACTGCTCAAGCAGGCCTGACCGCCATTCCGTGCTCCACATGGTGGTTGGCCCGTTGCGCAGGCGCTCCACGCGGGACCCCAGTCCCGCGAATCGCAATTCGGGATCTGGTTTTGGATTCGGCTTCGCATTCTGAAGATTCGGACTGCTTTTGCTCAGAGCGTGAATTACCTACCCCGCTTTCGCTTCCAGGGAAAACCAAGTCATACCACGCGCCTCCTCGTCAAGCGACCTGACCAGTACAGGCCGTAGTTTGGCATCGCTTGGTATCTCCTGGAAGCGAGGGTGGTCAAAAGCGAGGTAGGTTTGTTTCCCCCCTGTTTGCACACCGGCTCCACCACCAGCGCCCCGACCACCCTCTCAGGCATTCGAACTCTCGGGGGCCCTCGCGGGGCCCAGGGGGAGGGTGGGGGGGGCGTCGACGAACACCCTCGGGGTGCGGAGCCAGCCCCAGGGAAGGGGGGGCTCATCAGGGGCAACGTCGAGGGGCGATTGGCTCAACGTCGAGGGGGGACGTCGAGGGGTCCATCAGGGGGGCCGTCGAGGGGTCCATCAGGGGCAACGTCGAGGGGTCCATCAGGGGCAACGTCGAGGGGGGACGCGTCGACCCTCAGTCGCCCACTCGTCGCCGGCAGGGGCCCCCATGGCCCCACCCCCGCCCAGGAACGTGCGGCTTGCTTCGCTGCCGACGGAGCGTCGCCGACTTATATATCGGCGGTGCCTCGTCGCTCAAGGTCCATGTTCCCCTCGCGGTCCCCCCCCCCCTCCTGGCGTTGCCCCTCCGCAGTGCTTCTTTTCCCGTTCTCCCGCGCTGCATCCCCGTGGGGGCCACGGGATCCGTCTCCTGGGCCCTCCAGGGCCTCTGCTGCGGTGCGGGCCTCCCTGTGGAGCCCCCGATGGAGTTTCCTGGGGCCTGCTCCCCGAGCGCCGGTCTCCCCCCCTTCGGGCTGAGGAAGCCACTGGGAGGTCACCTCGGACTGCGTGGCAATGCATGCTTGGCCCACGAGCGCGGAGCCAGCGCGACTTATAAAGGATCGTGGCACTGGGAGCCGGCATTTCCAGAACGCGATTTAGAAGAGCCCAGCTTACTGACATGTGTTCCTTTCCTCTCCCTTGTCGCCTCGTTGTTCGTTCCCCCCTCTGTGCTCGTGTCATCGTCGTCGTCGTCGGCGTCGTCCTCCGATTATTGTAGGCCAGTGTGGGGCCACGGCGCATACCGTTTCCTCTCAACGTCCGTCCCTGGACGTTCGGCCACTTTGTTCTCCGTAGATGAGGTATCGTGGCCTCGGGAGCGTGGGCACAGCGTGATTGAAAAGGGATCGTGGCCTTGGGTACGCAGATCCAGTAAATGTGCAAGGAATCTATGTCCTGGGAGCGCGGATCCAATGCAATTTGCGAGGAATCGCAGCACAGCTCACGAGGGATCGCGTCCCTGTGAGCGCGGACCCACTGTAGTTTGGGAGGGATCGTAGTTTTGGGAGCGCCGAGCCAGCGTTACTTACAAGGGACCGTGGTTTCTTGAAGCGCAGATCCAGCGTAACGCACGCGGGATCGCGGCCATGGGAGCGCCGATTCAGCACAATTTGCCAGGGATCGTGGCCCTGAGGGCGCGACCATGCCGTCACCCTCGCCACGGCGTCCTTCCCCCTCCCCGAGGCCGCGGAGACGGCGGTGGCGCCAGACGACGACCACCCCGCCGACGACGACGTCGACGGCGGCGGCCGCTCCAAGGCGGTCCGGCGGCGGTGGCGGCACGACGGCGTCGGCGGCGGCGGCGGGTCGGAGACGGTCTGGCGGTGGCGGCGCTTCCGCGAGGGGCGCCGGCGCGCCGGTCAGGACCGCGAGGGGCGCCTGGAGCGCCGGCTCGCCGAGCTCGCGCGCGGCCAGGCGGAGGGCCAGGACGAGCTGGCGCGGCAGGCGCCCGAGGGGCCGACGCTGGATGCGGCGCTCCTCCTCCTCCTCCGCTCCCTCCTCCCTCCTCCCTCCTCCCTCCTCCCTCCTCCCTCCTCCTCCTCCTCCCTCCTCCTCCTCCTCTTCCTCCTCCTCCTCCTCCTCCTCCTCCTCCCTCCTCCTCTCCTCCTCCTCCTCCTCCTCCTCCTCCACTCCTCCTCCTCCCTCCTCCTCCTCCTCCTCCGCCTCCTCCCTCCGCCTCCCTCCGCCTCCCTCACTCCCTCCTCCTCCTCCCTCCTCCCCCCCCTCCCCCCCCTCCTCCTCCTCCTCCTCCTTCTCCTCCTCCTCCTCCTCCTCCTCCTCCTCCTCCTCCTCCTCCTCCTCCTCGTACTCCGCCCGCTTCTTTCTCCCTTCGACCTGGACGACGACGTGGACGACGACGACCACGACGACGACGACGACGACGACGACGACGACGACGACGACGACGACGACGACGACGACGACGACGACGGCGGCGGCGGCGACGGCGACGGCGACGGCGACGGCGACGGCGACGGCGACGGCGGCGACGACGACGACGACCACGACGACGACGACGGCTACGACGACGGCGACGACGACGACGACGGCGACGACGACGACGACGACGGCGACGACGACGAAAACGGGCTCGCCGTCTCGGTGATGGGGACCGCCGAGTTGGCCTCGGCTTCCGCGGGCAGCGGAGGAGAGCGCCACGGCGGCCGCGGCGAGCGGGCGCGCCACGAAGCAGGCTCCTTCCCTCGAGGCGCAGCCGGCACGAGGGCTCGGAGGCATCTGGTCGCCCACGCGCAGAAGGGGGGAGGGGGGAGGGCTTCTTAGCAGCACCCCTGCTTCTCAGAAGGCGCGGGCCTTGCTTGAAAATAGAAGGTCGGCGCCTTCTGAGCAGCAGCCTCCTTCCAAGGAAGCCGTCCCCCCTCCCCCTGCCCCCTCGTGCGCTCCGCCAGTCTGGAGCTCGGAGAGGTGCCCTTTGTGGAGGAGGAGGAGGAGGAGGAGGAGGAGGAGGAGGAGGAGGAGGAGGAGGAGGAGGAGGAGGGGGAGGGGGAGGGGGAGGGGGAGGGGGGCACGTTCGTGTCGTGTCGGTGCGGCGGCAAAACCAGCGCGGGCGTTCAGGGTTGAACGCCGCCTGTGGCCTGGAATTGGCCGCTGTCCGGCAGTCTGCGCTGCCGGCGCTCCGGAGAGCCGTGATCGTGCACGGAACGATCCGCGCGGTGTCAAGAACGAGCACAGCCGTCGTCGAGATACGAACCAGTCATATGTGTCGAGAAACGAGCCAGTCACATGCTCTTTGCCGTTGGGCCGCCCACCTTTGGATGTGCCTCGTTCTTGCTGTCTCCAGGGGGGCCCTTCGCATTCGGCGAAGGGTCTCGAGTTCTTGACCCACGCTCCTGTGGCCCTGCCAGGGCACAGCACAACAATCGACGACCTCAAACCTGTGATGTGTGTGATAGCCTGTGTTGCAGGCGCTCTGCAAAGCAAGCTATCATAGGTTTGAGCTCGTCAACTGTTGTACGGTCAAAAACCCGAATAAGGACGCGCGACTTTGCTAAGGGTACCATTGCGTCCTTGCTCTTCCTTGCTCCTGCGTCTCCCTCCTTCCTTGGTTTCGTCTTGGGGTGTTCGTCGCCCGCCGCCCCAAAAATCCCAACTTCGGCTTCGAAGGGTCTTGCGTCCTTCCCGCGCGTCCTCATTGGGGCTTTTGATTGTGCTGTGAGTCTGCAAGTTGTTGTAGTGCCACCTCTCGTCGAAACGGGCTTCACGCGCCGGCGGCGCTGCGACCCAGGCGTCCTCGCCCGCTCCTCCCACGCTCAGGAGGGCAAGAAACACACAGACACAATGAATCGTCGACTCCCCAGAAAACATGGGAAAATGTAGGAAGTGGGGGGGAAGACAAAAACCCAGAAAATATAGGAAAATATGGGGAATCCGGTTATTTGTGTGTGTGTATTTATTTGTGTGTCCCAGTTCCACTTCACACGCTGCCCTCTCGAGGGAGAGCCATCGGCATACAGTGGAAGCCCCTGCCAAGAAGCACCCTGCTTGCCTCCAGGGTGCCCTGGGCTTCTTAGGTGTCGATGGTTTTGCTGTGGGAGGCGTGACGTTCCCATATCAGACATCAATGAACGTCCTGGGATCTCAGGGTTGGGTTTCTTGCGGAATGTTTCTTGTGGACTGGCCTCCATTGTAGGCAGGAACTTCCGCAGGTCCGCGCTGATCTCTTGAATCGGGGCATCGACCCTGGCGCGCTCCGCGCGCCAGGGAGTGGGAGGGGGTCCAGCGCCGATCCAAGAAGTGTAGAAGGATCGCCGAAACGTTGCGTCTTGATGTCTGTTTGTTCTAACACAGTCGAACATAAGAATCAGTAGCTGTCCAAGGGTACCCTTGCATCCATGCCTCTCGGTCCATCCTAGCCCTAGGTCATGAGGTCATGAGCCATGGGCATCAAGCTTCGGCCTCGGTCTACGCGTGCAAGGGCCTTGCACTGCCGCGCATCCTCATGGCTCGGCCGCACTGCACCCCCCCCTGGTCGCTCCTCATTCCTCCGTCCTCGCTCCATCAATGAGGAGGAGGAGGAGGAGGAGGAGGAGGAGGCTTCGAGACAGCCTAAGAGCCCCCCATGATGCCCCCAGAAGGGCCCCGAGAGCCCTCCAAAGAGGGCTCCAAGATGCCAGGATCATGGATCATTCGCAGCTTTTTGATGGATTTGGGCGTCTCGCCTTTTCGGGGCCCCGACGTCCCAAGAGGTTCCTCAGATCGACGACAACGACGACGAAAACGACGACCACGACGACGGCGACGGCGATAACCACGACTACGACCACGACACCGGCCACGTCCTCCATTGCCTCCAAAGGTCCCCGGAGAAAGTCTGCGCGAGCTTCTGGCGACGTCCAAAAACGATCAGGGCCACGACGACGCCGACGACGGCTGGGCGACTGAATGCGATGGCGGCGGCCAGGTATTGATTCCCCCTTTCTCCTCTCTCTCATGTCTCGTGATCTTGCCTTCTTCCTGGACTAAAGCCTGAGCCCAGGAGGCCTCCAAGACTGCCCCAGGAGGCCCCCAAGATCTTCCAAGAGGGCCCCGAGACGACCAAATATCGCTACAAGACAAGATGGCCCCAAGACGGCCCAAGAGGCTCCAAATAATCCCCAAGAGCGCTCCAAGAGGATCCCGAAGAGGTCCCCAAGAGGCAGAACTCAGCAATCTTCTATATTTTCCTATGTTTTCAGCGTTCTCGCGTTATGCTTCCGACGCTCTAAGATGGCCCCAGAGGCCCCCCAGACCGCCCCAAGACGGCCCAAGAGGCCCCAAAAGGGGGGCCCAAGATTGTCCAAGAGGGCCCCAAAACGGCGCAAGAGACGCCCAAGATCGCCCAATACGGCTCCAAGACGGCCCCAAGAAGGTTCCAAGAGGGGGAACACGAACCGACAATTCGAGATTTCCGCCCCAGGAGACCCCAAGAAGCCCCCAGGAGGCCCCCAAGAGAGCCCAAGAGGCCCCCTAGAGACCCCACGAGGCCACCAAGAGGCCAACAAAGAAGCCCCCAAACGGCCCCCAAGAAGCCTCCAAAATTGTCTCCAAGAGGCCCCCGAGAGGCCTCCGACGATATCCAAACGAACTTCCAAGACGCCTGTAACCCACAACCCGGGCACGGTGGCGGGATGGGCCGAAGGCCACTAGACGGTCCAAGACGCCCAAGACGGTCTCCAGACGGCCCAAGAGGCCCACAAGACACCCAAGAGGCCTCCAAGAGGTCTCCCAAGAGAGCTCGGAGAGGCGCATATATATATATATATATATATATATATATATATGTGTATATATATAAAGATGTATATATACATGTATATATACATATATACATGTGTATATATATATATATCGGGGGAAAACCCGTCCCCCCCCCCCAAAACCGGACTCCCGGGATCTGGGGCTTTGGGACCCTTAGGACGGGCCTCGAAGCGGCCCCCCGGGCCTCGCAGGGCGTTTTGCCAAGCCTTCGCAGCACACCTAGGGGCGATCAGAGGGGTCATCGGAGACGTCCCAGAGAACCCCAAGACACTACAAGAGCGCTCCAAGAAGCCGTCATACCCCGAAAGATCGCTCCAAAACGTACCAAGAGGCCTCCAAGAGCACCTCCAAGAAGGCCCCAAGAGGGAATAATCATCGATCTAATGTAGGTTTTTGGTGAATATCGGGTTCTCCTCTTTTCGGCTTCCCGACGCTCCAAGACAGCGGTCTTCTGGGCGTCCGAAGTCGCCTGGGAGGCTCCAAAATTGCCCCGCAACCATCCGAAAGGGCTTCCAGGCAGTCCAAGAGAGCCTCAGAACGGCACAACAGGGGTCCAAAATGACCCTAAGAGAGCCCCATGGCAGCCCAAGATGGCCCCAAGACACCCTCCGAAGCATTCCAAATCGTGACCGGGGCGTTCAGGGAGATTGCGGTTAGAGGCAGGTTGGCCTTAGGAAGCCCCAGAGGCCCCCAGAACACGCCCAGGAGGCTTCCAGAAGGCTTCAAGAAAGCCTGAGAACTTTGGTGAGGCCTCCAGAGGTACTCCAAGGAGGAGCTTCCGCAAAAAGAGCTTAGGAGGATGGGGAGAATACCCAGGGTATGGCGAGAATGAGGAAAGATTATGCTACCGAGGAACCTCACCTACTTCTGTTATCTCTCTTGCGTTTGTATACTAAACACTTGCGCACCCCCCTACGGTGTCGAGAAAGTGCCACGCCTGCTATGCCCTGCACAACATAGGGAGACCACCCCCTGCTAACCCCCTACGGTGTCGGGAAAGTGCCACGCCTGCTATGCCCTGCACAACTAAGGCGGATAGGGAAACCACCCCCTGCTAACCCCCTACGGTGTCGAGAAAGTGCCACGCCTGCTATATGCCCTGCACAACTCAGGCGGATAGGGAGACCACCCCTTGCTAACCCCCTACGGTGTCGAGAAAGTGCCACGCCTGCTATGCCCTGCACAACTAAAGCGGATAGGGGGACCACCACTTGCGCACCCCTTATGGTGCAGAGAATGTGCCACGCCTGCTATGCCCTGCACAACTCAGGCGGATAGGGAGACCACCCCCTGCTAACCCCCCTCGGTGTCGAGAAAGTGCCACGCCTGCTATGCCCTGCACAACAAAGGCGGATAGGGAGACCACCCCCTGCTAACCCCCTACGGTGTCGAGAAAGTGCCACGCCTGGTATGCCCTGCACAACTAAGGCGGATAGGGAGACCACCCCCTGCTAACCCCCTACGGTGTCGAGAAAGTGCCACGCCTGCTATGCCCTGCACAACTAAGGCGGATAGGGAGACCACCCCCTGCGCACCCCCTATGGTGTCGAGAAAGTGCCACGCCTGCCGTGCCCTGCGAGCCTGCAACGCATGGAGACCGCACTCCCTGCGCACCCCCTCTGGTGTCCAGGAAGTGCCGCGCCTGCCACGCCCTGCGAGCCTGCAACGCATAGAGACCGCACTCCCTGCGCACTCCCTGCAGCGACGAGAAAGTGCAACGCATGCCGCGCCCTGCACCGCATGGAAACCGCACTCCCTGCGCACCTCCTGTGGTGTCGAAAAAGTGGTGTGGTGTGGTGTGGTGTGGTATGGTATGGCGCGGGGTGGTGTGATGTGATGATGTAATGCGGAAGAGAGGGAGGTGCCAACGCGGGTGTAGAGAAGGGGAGGTGGGTGAGAAACGCGGGTGTGACGCGGTTGTAGAGAAAATCAGAACCCCACTTAGAATGAAGGGAATAAGCATGGAGGCGGGATAACGAACAACATTATTATAACGGCGATGCCAGAAACGGCAGCAAGGAGTTATCGCAAAATTGTCCGCTTGACCTTCCTGCCATTTCTGCCTGCATACCAATCTTCAAGGACCAAGGTGCTTGGCGCGAAGCGCCACTGCAGTCTTGATACATATATATATATATACATACATACATATATACATGTATATAGATTCCCCAATCAGAGCTTGCCTCTGTAGGGGTCCTAGCGGATTCATATGGTTAGGTGAGGTGCGGCGCCGATTTGGTGGCTGGCGGTCGGGTGCCCGGGTGCCCGGGTGCCCGTGGGTGCCCGGTGCTCCAGGATTTCGGAGGCCGGTGGCCGGGTGCCCAGGTGCCCGGGTGCCCGTGGGTGCCCGGCTGCCCGGGTGCTCGGGGGTGCCCGGAGGTGCCCGGGGGTGCCCGGGTACTTTATAGCCATGTAGCCCAATAGCCTTATAGCTCTATAGCCCAATAGCCCATATGGCCTTATAGCCCAATAGCCCTATAGCCCTATAGGCCTATAGTCCTATAGCCCCTATAGTCCAATAGCCCAATAGCCCTATAGCACTATACCCCCATAACCATATAGCCCCATAGCCCTAGAGCCCTGTAGTCTTATAGCCCCATAGCCCCAACAAGAACCTGATTGTGTTTGTTCTTTGGCGTCATATTTGTAAATATACATGTATAGATACATGTATATGTGTATATATATACACTCACACACATCTGCGTTCCGTTGTTGAGCAAGTTTGGCGTTTCCGCCTGTTCCGCTTACCGACGCTGCAAGAGAGGCCCCGAGGATCGCCCCAAGACAGCCCAACAGGGTTCAAAAGCGCCCCAAGACGGTTACAAGACGGTTCCGAAACGGCCGAAGAGACGTCCAAGACGGCCCGAGAGGGCCCCAGCCACGACCCAGGATCGGGAACGTGAACCGAGAACCCGAGATCTTCGCCCTAAGAGACCCCAGGATGCCTCAAGAGGTCCCCAAGAAGCCCCACAAAGGCCCAAAAGAGAGGCCTTAAAAGAGGCCCCGAGGGCACTTGAACGAAACGGGAATTCCAACATGCCCTTTTTTCGTTCAAGGTCGCTTGGCAGCTTGGCTACGCTTGCAAAAAAACGATGGACATACCACATTCCCTCCTCCATTCTCTGTTGCTTGCAAATGCATTCGTGGTCCCTGTCGCACCCCGAGGCAAGTTGTAGGGCGGGCCGAGCGTTTCGCGTGAGACTTCCTCACCGTTCGGAAAATCGGTAGAAGTTGGAGGCTGAGCATTGGCAATCGCTTCGTGCATGGAGGGCGGGTGGCTTTCGACACGTGGCTCTCGCCTCAGCGCCGCGCACACTCGCGCAGAGCAGTCGCAAGAGCTTCACGGATTGAGGGCGGCTCCTTTTCAAAATGTGGTTCTCGTCTTAGCGCCGCGCGCGTTCGCTCGTAAACCTTGCAGGAGCTTCACGGATTCCCATGAGGCGTTCTAGCACGATTCAGGATGGCCAAGACGCAACAGTCAGGTGGATCCGTGGCGCTGGAATCCCGAGAACGATGGTTTGGCATGCTGCAGGGTCTTCAAACTGTTGTCTTCCAACGAGGCAATTCCCTCAATGGAAATGAACCGTTGTAGGGGCCTATGAAGAGGGAGCTTGGAGGGAGGGTTCATTCCAACATCGTTGATGCCTTTGGGTTTGCACTGGTCCTCCTCATCCTCCTCCTCCTCTTCCTCCTCCTCCTGTTCCTCCTCCTCTGCGGCCTCCTCCTTCTCCTCTTCATCCCCCTTCAGGGAACCCCTTCACCCCCTCATCTCCTCCCTCTCCGGCTACGTCCCGCCGCGGCGAAGAGAGGGGCCCCGAAGTGCCTCGTGGGCCTGCCTTTGGCCGCCGTGGGTGGGCCGTAGGAAGTCTTGGAATCCATTTGGGCCGTCTTCGCAGTACTTGGAGGCCCCGGAGAAGAAGTATCATAATATAGAGGTCCCCGAGAATTCGACCAGCCAGCTTGGGTTGAAATTGAGCGCACGCGAAGCCGTCGCGATGGTTCTAGTATGTGTATACGTATGTATCTTAATGTATCCGCACATTGGGGGGTAAGTCGACCAGTGGGGCCCAGCCCACACCAGTGGGCATTGGGATCGGTTCGAGAATCGGTGGAGGAGGATGAGGACGACGACAACGACGACAACAGCGGCGACGACGACGACGACGACGACGACGACGACGACGGCGTGGGGGCGGTCTCGGAGCCGGCCCCGTCCGCCCCGCGAGGTGGAGGCCCTGCGCCGCGTGGTGGAGGCACCACTGGGGGGCGGGTGCAGCTCGAAAGGGGGCCCACGATCAAGCCATGCGCCACCAGGCCCCAGGCGCGTGGGCAAAGCCGTGCGTCCGGCAATGCTCGGCGCGGGATCAAGGAACACCGCGGACAGCAGAAGTAGGAAGGAGGAGGAATAGGAGGAGCAATGTTGCCATGCGCGCGTGGTGCTGCGCGTGGTGTGACCAGCTGGGGCGACCAGGGGGGGAAGGGGGGGGGCCAGGCGCGAAGGAGCCAACACAGACTCAGACTCCAGGATGTCCCACACCTCTCCAGATCTCCTGGATGCTCCTCTTCCCCTCCAGGTTCCCATGCTTCCCACATGGTCCCAGTGGGAGCTGACGTGTACTTGCTCAAGTTCACGTCGAGCATTCCCCCCTGAGGATCGTGAGGGCCAGCATCCGCTGGGCAGCCGCGGCGCTCCTGGCGCCCGATCGGCCCGCCGCCCAGACGGGGCCCGAGGGCGGCTGGGCTCGGAGGGCCGCGCCGCACACGGCCGGCGGCCCCGCGCGGTCCTCGGCGCAGGGCTCGACCAGACGCGAGAGTGGCCCTGCGCTGCAGTGACCTTTCTGGTTCAGGAGGGGAAAAACACACACAGACACAGTGAATCGTCGATCCCCCAGAAAGCATGGGAAAATGTGGGAAGTGGGGGGGGAAGAGGGAAATCCCCAAAATATGGCCCTGCGCTGCAGTGACCTTTGTCTCGGCACCGCTCGGACGTGTGCATTTTTTCTCGGCGAGGACCATCGAGGACCATCCTGGGCCATCGAGCAAAAAAAACACGCACGAAACCGACAAATGCACGGGAGGTGGACGTCCGAGCGACGGCAAGACACGCGAGAGTGGCCCTGCGCTGAAGTGACCTTTGTGGTGCGGGCTCACCAGGGACCCCCGAGCACGGAACGCGGCGCGACCGGGGCTGCCCGCGGGCCTGGATTTGGCCACCCCGCGCCCCCCGTCATCCGCGCACGAAGACTCGCTCTTGCCTGGGGTCGCTCTTGTGTGGTCTGCCCCGAGGGGCAATCTCGCAATCCATACCCCTCCTCCTCCTTCCCCTCCTCCTCCTCCTCGTTTTCCTCCTCCTCCTCCTCGTTTTCCTCCTCGTTCTTCTCCTCCTCCTCCTCCTCGTTTTCCTCCTCCTCCTCCTCCTTGTTCTCCTCCTCCTCCTCCTCCTCCTCCTCCTCCTCCTCCTCCTCCTCCTCCTTGTTCTCCTCCTCCTCCTCCTCCTCCTCCTCCTCCCTCCTCCTCCTCCCTCCTCGTTCTCCTCCTCCTCCTCGTTTTCTCCTCCTCCTCCTCCTCCTCCTCCTCCTCCTCCTCCTCCTCCTCCTCCTCCTCCTCCTCCTCCTCCTCCTCCTCCTCCTCCTCCTCCCCCTCCCCTCTGGCCCTGGGCAGGCCAAGGCACCGGGCCCGCTGCGCCTCCCTCGTCTTCCCTCCCTTCCTCGGGCCTCCCTGGGGCGCCGCCACGGCCGGACAGACTCGCCGCAAACAAAAAAAACGATTGCCAGCGCGCACCCCTCGGGCGAGGTCCAGGGAATAGTCGACTAGGGGAGCGACTGCAGAACTGATCGCGAAGGCCTTACGGCCAGTGCCGCCAACTCTGAAGGGAGGACGACGACGACCACGACCACGACCACGACGACCACGACCACGACAACGACCACGACCACGACGACCACGACGACCACGACGACGGCGACGACAACAACGACGACGACGACAACGACGACGACGACGACGGCGGCGGCGGCGGCAACGACGACGCTGACGTGTGCCAGAGTCCTCAGGGATGCTTCTTGGGGTCACTTCGGAAGTCTCTCGGGGGCCTCTGGGGAGGAATTTCGGGGCCTCTTGGGAGCCTCTTGGGGGCCTCTTCGGGCTTCCTGGGGACCTCTTGTGGCGACTACAGAATTGATACTCACGGGGCAATATACACACTGCTCGCAGACTCGGTGGGAAAATCCATGGGGCAACTCAGTTCTGTAGTCGATCCCCTACTCGAAGTAGCGGCATCGGTACCTTTTTGTCTCCCGGGGTCCGGAGCGATGCGGTGCGACGCTCCGACCCCCCTTTGGGCGGCCTCCAGTCGAAGGGGGGACTGGGAACGGGGTCGCCAGCGATCTGTCTGCCCCAACCCCCGACGCTTCGACGAGAAATGAAGCCGCCCAGAAGAGGAGGGAGACCTTGGGATACACCCCAAGGGGGGCCACTCGGACGCACTCTGTCGGGGATGCACGCCCCCGCGTCGTTATTCCCAGGGTTGGGCCCCAAACTTTGGGTCCAGTCGAAACCCCCCCAAAGCCTGGGATAGTACGGGACGTGAAAACGACCACAGTTTTGTTGCTGCCTTCCAGCCAGCAGAAACAAGCAGTGGTTGTGGTCATGTTCGTTAAGCTTGGCACCAGGAAAATGACCACAACCACTGCTTCTTTTTCAGCCGGCTGGAAGGCGGCGCAAACAAGAAGCAGTGGCTGTGGTCATTTTCCCGTCCCGCAGCAACGTAACTACTCGCAAGGTGCCTGCTCGCAAATTTAAGAGGCAACTACTGGGAGGTTTTCGTCGGGAAGATTGAGGAGGATTGAGCCCCCATTTGGGAGCTATTACGCCAGAGTGGGCCTCGGATGAAGCGGCATTCAGCCGGATTCAGCGGGATCAAGCGGGATTCAGCCGAACTAAGCGGGATCAAGCGGGATTGAGCCGGATTTCGGACCAGGGCAAAATCAGAATCTGACCTCTCAGGAGTTGCATCCCAAGCAAGTGGCCTGGATCCGCCGAGGGGGATCTGCGATTCATTACATCGAGGCAGTCGTTTGTTTTTTTTCTTTCGGGCGTTTGCGAGTAGGTACTTCGCGAGTAGCGGGACGCGCTCGGTGACGTAACATAGCTGCATGCACGTAAACTTTTCGGATGTCCGCGCGGATTTCTTGGATCGCCGCTGGACGCCCCCTGGCGGCGCCTGCGGCGCCGCCCCTGGCCCGCTCCGCACGAGTGGAAGGGTCCAGCGCAGATAGGTGTCAAGGGGGGCGGATCGGGAAGGGGTAGGGCTGTGCGGAGGCCGGGCCCTCGCCCGTACGTGGCGCTTCTGACTCCTCCTCCCTCCTCCTCCTCCTCCTCCTCCTCCTCCTCCTCCTCCTCCTCCTCCTCCTCCTCCTCCTCCTCCTCCTCCTCATCATCATCCTCATCCTCATCCTCATCCTCATCCTCATCCTCATCCTCCTCGTCCTCCATATCCTCCTCCTCCCCCTCCTCCTCCTTCTCCTCCTCCTCCTCCTCCCTGACGCCCAGAAGCGCCAGGAAGACCAGCTGCACGCAGCAGATGCGCCCCCCACATACCTTCGCCATCGCCCCCTCCTCTCATCGAGAATACAAGAGCCCCTGACCCTGGTGGCACAATGAAGGCGCGGCGTCACTGGGGTCACCATTTCTGCGTCGGGGATTGTCTTTCTGGGCGGTTTGGCTTCACACGCCTGCAGAAGAGACCCCCTATCCCTAAAGTTCTGGACCTCCAAACTTCGGTCGGCTCCCAAAGGGTTAAGGGTTCGCTGTTGTTGGTCACTTCTTTGTCCGCCCCGAACAGAGCAGACTTAGGAGGCAAGAAGCATGTGCGAATGGGAGAGAGGAGCAGGGAGGAGGTGGAGGAGAAGGGGTAGACGAGTAAGATGAAGAACATGTTCGGCCGTTCGCGTGGTCTCATAGCCGACCAGCTGATGGCTGAGCGTCGAGGTCAGGCGAAAGCCTGCCTCGAGCAATCGTATATAGCATCACGAGGTGATGCGTATCGCGCACCGTGCAGCCCATCCTCTTCAGTGTGTAGAAGGAGGCAGGATAACGAGACCCAATGAGTGAGTACTGTAGTAGGTGGCGAGGAAGCATGCCATGCTTGTTAAACGAGGGGGGGGAGCAGATGGGAGTAGACGAGCGCAAATGCGGGCCGTTGGACGAATGCTGTGGAGCAGGAGGAGGACAATCTTTTGACGTCGTTCAATACCTAATGGCTCCGCTCAGGCCGGTCCGCCGCCATCTGTGGATTAGGATGAAGTCGGACCGCGGACATCATGCAAGGACAAGTGATCGTTGTCGCACGCCGCGGATCGTGACCAGAGTTTATGGTGATCGCGGTTGGAAACCAAGTGCCGCTGAGCTCATCATCTTTCTCTCTCTCTCTCTTTCTCTCTCTCCCTCTCGCTTTCTCTTTCTTTCGATATATGTGTATATGTGTGTATACCACTCCCCCTCTCACTCTCTGACATGCGCGCGCCTGGGGTCCCCGTTGGGACAGACTCGTGAGCAGAACGTCATCGATGATAGGTTTCTGTGGGTCATGACGGCAGTTCGGTGTTCATTTGCCTCATGCCATCCTGCCGACTTTGCCCCGCTCGACCCTGGCTGGCTCCCCAGGCAGCAGCCACGCCAGCCTTCGTGGAGGAGGCGTCGGCACTGCCCGGCGGGCCGGCGCCTGCAGCTGCGGCGCCGCCCCCCCCAGCGCCGAGCACGGAAGCTCCTTCACCGGCAGCCTCCGAGGCAGCGCGAACGCATCTTGCCACCGCTCCCGCAGTCTCGTCTGAGTCCACAACTCATGTTCGGAGGTGGATAGGCCTCCTACCCTGACACGCCGATGAAGGAATAGGCCGTGTTTTCGGTTCGCGAGAGGGCGTCGCGGCCGCCATCTTTGCGTGTCCAGGTCCGTCGGTTTCGGTCCCAGGCCGTTTTCACTAAGGGGAGGGTTACTAAAGGTAGGTTTGTCCACCGCCGAAATGTGCATCATGTTGTTTTGCCTTCGCCTCCTCAGCATTTCTGTCTTTGATCCTCCGGCTTCCTAGCAGCAGTGGAGGCGTGCAGGCGTCGACGAGTGATAAGATGATTGTGGTTGTCACTCTTACCGGACGCAAGGGCGTTGCATGTCAGACAGTTGACACACACACACACGCACACACGCACGGCAAGGAGATGACCAAATGCGGGCCGACGCGCAGTGGCACGTGCAGCTCCCTGAGAAAGCCCCCGCAGGCCGAGGCGCACACATGCGCAAGAGGAACTCCCTGCCGAGGGGCAGCAGCGCGCATATGTGTCTCCGCCATGCGCAGTGGCACAGCGGCTGGCTCGTGGCGGGGGAGCATCGGGTCGGGCGAAAGGCGGGGATTGGGAAAGGGGGGGTTACGAAATTTGCTGCATGCAGCTGGTTTCGGCCTCACCGAGGGGCCCCTTGCTCGATACATGGTCGCCTCCGGCGCCGGGAGGCGCCGGGGAAATCAGCTACGCGAGCTGATTCTCAAACCCCCCCTTTGCTATCCCCCCCTTTCGCCCGACCCGAAAGCAGGACCGGGGGGCCACCGCACCCCTGCCCCTGCGCTGAGGCTGCGGCTGGGACGAACAGGGCCACTTCTCTCGGCAGGTCCGAGAACCCAGGCAGCGAGGCCAGCTCTCTCGGCAAGTCTTAAGTCGGGCCTGTCCCTCTACAGGGGGGACATTCAATAATAGTCAAAAAATCGTCTGGGGATTATTGTTTCAGCATGTTTGAGCATTTTTTATATATTTTTCTTGTATTTCTAACTATTCGTCCAACATCGGCCTGTAGGGGGACAGGCCCGACTTGAGGCAAGTCCGAGGTTTCAGGCCCAGGAGCGATCCGGAAAAAGAAAAAAGAAGGTGGAGCGCAAGGACGCAGCGCAGGCGGCATGTGTGACGCCAGGTGCAGGAGAGGCTGGAGCGATGAGCTCAGAGTGGGGCTGCTGCGGTACCTGGCCTCTCTACCAACCTGCCGCCTTGCGCTCAGTGTTCAAGGATCCACCTTAGATGCGAGGATCAGCTGTGCTCTTTTCTGGTACTCGCGCTTCCACGCGCGACGGCCGTCCATATGTAGGGACAGTGTACTGAGGTTGCCTCAGCTCTTGGCCCCTCCGAAGGAGTCAACAAACAAAAGCGGCCACTAAAAGCCCACACACACACACACACACACACATGGGGGGCGCAGGGAAGAGCTCCGTAGCGCGGGGGCGCGCAGGTGCAGTTGCGGAGACGAGGCCTCTGCTTCCAAGAGCTGGTGCGGGCCCGCCCGTGCAATCGGAGGCTCACGCGTCCCCCAACCCACCAACACCAGGATGCAGCGCCGGGTGGCCCTGGGAAGGTGGGCCGCCACGGCGACGTATACCGCAGCTTCTGACACTGCGATGTTGGACGTGCTGGAGCCGGGCCGGATTTCCTGCACACGATCATCCCCGCACGCGGCTGGCGAGGTAAGGGTGCAGGGGGCACGGAGCCAGCCGGGTCGCGCTTGCTACCGACCTTCCTCGAGTATCTCGATCTTGAGGCTGCAGGTGATTTTTCGGAGTCGACCGAGGAATCACTGTCGGACCATCCAGGCGAGCAGCTGCTCTGTCCACGACGATCATCCGCCCGATCACTGTGCAAGAGCAAGTAAGCGTGTCACTGTCGCGTGCGGAGTAGCATGAAGTCGGGCATGTCCCTCTACAGGAGCAATGTTCAAAAATAGCCAAAATTGATAGTCTGGGGACGATTTTTGGATTACCTTCGATTTTGCTTGCTTGATTCGTCCTCCAAGATCCGCCTGTACGAGGACACGCCCGACCTAAGAGTAGGGGAGGAGGAGGGTTTGAGCGGATTGCTAGAGCGGTTCGAACGATCGACAGGCCGCATGCGACCAGCCGACCGTGGCCCCGTAATCTGCTACGGGCCGTCCCCAAGCCAACCAACTGGGTTCCGTGGCTTCTTCTTGCACGAGCTGATGTCAGCATCGTAGCTGATAAGAGGATGCCGACGGCCTTGCGATAACGTTGGCTTCCAGCTGCCTTCCTCAAAAACTTGAGGAGGAGGAGGAGGAGGAGGAGGAGGAGGAGGAAGAGGTGGTGCCCAGGTGCGTGCGGCAAACTGCAGCACCACGCCAGCGCGGACGCGCTCGCCAGACGGCCCCCAGGCCGCGCGGCCGACGCGCGGGGGACCCGGGCATGCCTTGTGGCTGCTCTGCGGCTGTCCTCGGCGGTTGCCCCCGGCGGTCACCTCGTGCGGTGGTTGCCCCGCGGTCGCCCCGCGCGGTCGTCGGTCCCGCTCGGTGGTCCCGTGTCCGCTCCGCTGTTGCCCCGCAGCTGCCCTGCGGCTGCCCCGCGGTCTGTCCCGCCGTTGCGCCGCCCGCTGCGGCAGCCGTGTCCGGGGCCTGCCAGACGAGGCGCACCCAGCGGCACGGGACGGCAGCGGGGACGTGACACTTGCAGACAGCGCTGCCCCCTCGGGCTCACGGGGAGCAGCAGAGGCCTTGTGGCCCCCGCGGCGTCCCGCGCGCGCCTTGCTTCTGCAACGCCGCGCTCGGGGTGCTGCTGGAGACTCCCCTTGGCGTCCTCGTGGCGACGCGGATGCGGGCCATGCCCCCGCCGTGGTCGCTCCCGCGCTGCACCGGCTGTACCTCGGGAGTCCCGAGACGGTGCGGTGACAATACCGTGTGGCGAGTCAGTGGGGATTCGGGGTCACCGCACGGTTTGGGACTCGGGTCGTTCTCCAAGGACGTCTCGAACGTTTGGAACCTCCACGGTCCCCAAACCGTGCGGTGACGGACCGTGCGGCGAGGTCCTGGAGGATTCCGAGGTCACCGCACGGGCTGTCCCCGCACCTCTTTGGGACCCCCACATGTCTTCCTGTGCCTCTCCCTGTCCCCTCCTACGGCCCCGTCTGTCTTCCTACCCCTGGAGGGAAGAAAGTAGTACACGCCGGCCGTTGAAAGTAGGTACTATCAGATTCCCAGATTTCAATCGATTTGATCGATTCCCAGCGCCTTCCTACTCTAAGAATCGATGTGATATTGCTGTGTCTTGTTATTCTCTGGGAGGGCGTGAACCCAATCTACTTGATCCGCCATCCTATTTCATGTTTTTACTTACTTCTTCCGACCGACGTGTATCAATACCACGTTGCCGCAGGGTCCCTGTCGGCGTGTCACTCCGCCCAGCTTGTCCGGAGACATTGTGCTTTCCCTTAAGAGCAATACAGTCCACGCGCTCAGTAAGGACGCGCGCCTTCATCCAGTAAGGACGCGCCCCATTGCCTATGCGGCCCGTCCTTTGCCGTTTTCACTGGTCGCCCGCCGCCCAAAAAGCTACAATTTCGGCCTCCAAGGGTCTTGCGTTTTACCACCCGTCCTTAATATATGTTTTGACGGTACATTGGTGGGTTCCCCATGGCGGCGCGTCATTGGTATTGCACCAGACGCTGTTGTAATTGCGGGGGCCCCAAATGTCCCGACCGTTTCACCTTCCCGGGGTGTAGGTTCTCACCGCAGAAACGTCCCTGCTGATTTCCCCGAGGCCCAAACACGGGCTTCAAAGGTCGAAATCCAGCACAGTCGGACCGAGGTATGAGATCGAGGTCGGTTCGGGGAGGGTACCCCGATGTCCTTCGTGTTTCTGGAATGTTCTCGAGCGTCCTGGGGGAGGGCACCCTCGAATGTTCCTCAGTTTGGCCGGCGGAGGTTCTCGTGTTTTTGAAGGATGCTGTTCTCTCCGAGGTCCGGCTGTATGCCTCCCAAAATATCATGGCCCCTTTTCTTGTTTCTGTGCGTCCCTTGCCCTCCCCCCTCCCCTGGGCCACGCACATGCCTCGGGCCATGATCTGCGAGCCCCCCCCCCTGGGCGCCCCCGACCTGGGGAATGCAGCGAGATCCGGCGCGCACGGGGCCCCGCTCCGCTTCCTCGCTCTCCGGGAGGCCCCAGCCCGACGCCCCCAGAGGGGGGTATGGTCCAGGAGGGGAACGCGTCGACCTTCGATCGCCCACTGATCGCCGAGAAGGGCCCGATTGCCCGCCCTGCCCAGGGAGCGCGCGGTGTCTAACTATTCAGTCTGAGTCTCGACAGAGTGTTGAAACGATCATTTGCAGCATGGCGAAGCGACAATCGGACATCGCTCCTATAGAGCTGTTGAGTTGAATTTAGTTTCTGTCGTCATCGTGGTCGTCGTCGTCGTCTTGGCGGTGGTCGTCGCCACGGCGCCGCGCTCCTCCTCCTCCTCCTCCTCCTCCTCCTCCTCCTCCTCCTCCTCATCCTCCTCATCCTCTCCTCCTCTCCTCCTCCTCCCTCTCTCCTCCTCCTCCTCCTCCTCCTCCTCCTCCTCCTCCTCCTCCTCCTCCTCCTTCTTGGAGGGGAGGCTGGGGCCCGACCGGCGGGCGCGGCGACGCGTGCCAGGCGGCGCGGCCGCGGAGGCGGCGCTGGGCGGACGAGTCCTCCGAGGACGCCGGGGACGAGGCGCGTCTGCCGCCGCCGCCACGGGGCAGCTGCGCTGTGGCCTCGAGCTCGGTGTGTTGGGGGCCTGTTTTCGGCCCTGGGCGCGCGTGTAGACACATGCACACACACATGTATAGATATATATATATATATATATATATATATATATACATGTATATATATATATATATATATGTAGACAAACTTATATATATATATATATATATATATATATACACACACAACTATATACATGCATATCTGTACATGTATACATGTATACGAGTCTATGCATGCGTATGTGTGTCGGAGGTTGGGGGGTGAGGTGGCAGTGGAACGGAGACTCCCAACCGGGAAATCGTTTCGTTTCGTGCGTGTCGTGCGTGCGGGCGAGGCGAAGCTGCGTGGGCGCGCGAGAGGAATGAACCCGCCGTTGCTAGGGCGAAGTCAAGACAAATGATTCTCCCCCTCCCGCCCGTCTGGCGGTGGCTAGCGATGTCCCGCGGTGTCCCGTGGTGTCCCGTGGTGTCCGCCGTTGCCAGGGCGAAGTCAAGACAAATGATTCTCCCCCGCCCACCCGTCCGTCCGTCCGTCCGGAGGTGGCTCGCAGTGTCCCGCGGTGTCCCGTAGTGTCCCTTGGTGTCCCTTGGTGTCCCGTTGAGTGAGGTCGATCGTGAGATCGATACTGAGATCGATATTTAGGTCGATACTGAGATCGATGTGGTGTCCCGTGGTGTCCCAAAAAGTGAGATCGATAGTGAGATCGACAGGTGTCCCGTGGTGTCCCGTGGAGTGAGATCGATAGTGAGACCGATAGTGAGATCGATAGTGAAATCGATGTGGTGCCCCGAGGTGTCCCGTGGTGTCTCGTGGTGTCCTATGGTGTCCCGTTGAGTGAGATCGATAGTGAGATCGATATTTAGATCGAAAGGTGTCCCACAATGTCTCGTGGTGTCCTGTGGTGTCCCGTGGTGTCCCGTTTAGTGAGATCAATAGTTAGATCGACTAGTGTCCCGTGGGGTCCCGTGGTGTCCCGTTGAGTGAGATCGATAGTGAGATCGATTGAGTCAGATGTTGGCTCCCCCCCATCTCCCCCCACCCAACCTCATCACCGGAAGGGTGGTCGTTTTGGTCGTATGGTAAGTACGTATGTATGTACATAGGTAGGTATGTATGTATGCATGCATATTGGTATGCATATATGTATGCATGTATGCATGCATGTGTATATATACATATCTATACACATACCTATACGACCACCCTTCGGGTGCTAAGGAAGTTCGGGGGGGGGAGGAACCAACGTCTCACTCGATCGGTCTCACTATCGATCTTACGATCGATCTCACGATCGGTCTCGCTCGATCGATCTCACTCGATCGATCTCACAATCGATATCACTCGATCTATTCCATTCAATCGATCTCACAATCGATATGACTATCGATCTCACAATCGATCTCACTATCGATCTCACAGTCTATCTCACATTCGGTTTCACTATGGATACCACTATCGATCTCACAATCAACGTCATCGTCATCATCATCATCATCATCATCTTCACCAACGTCATCAACATCATCACCGGGACACTTGAGTGCAGTTGTTGCCTGTGCTTTCTTCTGCGTTGGAGCTAGCATTGCGACCATGGCTGCTGCTGGACCACCGTCCGTTGTCTATGCTGGTGCTGCTGCGCGCTCGGCTGTGACCCCCGCTGCGTTGGCCGCGCTCCCGCTTGCCGGAGCTGACACCGTGCAATTCGTGCGTAATGGGGTAGTCCTGGGACCTGGAGGACACACGAACGTGAATCGCACGCGCGGTCCTGTGCGGAGCGCAGAGTGGTTGGCGGACTTCATTCCGTTTGCCGGCGATACTCTCAAGTTCGCCGTTTGGCTGATGCTCGTGCTGGATCGGAGCTTGACCCCGATTCCGTATCCTCAAGGGATATCGGGCCGTGGGACAAACGCCGGTCAGGTGGCAAGCCAAGCCGCCCTCGTTGGGCAGAAGTCCATTGAAGGGTACGTGAGGCACTATCTCGGAACCGGTGCGGTCAACCGCGATGAGACCCTGAGCTACGCGATGGTGGACTTGGCGCAGGGCCTGATCGGGTGGGATCCCACGTATGCGAAGGAGTACACCGCTGCAGGATGGGTTGCGACTCCGTCAAGCGGCACGGCAGCGCCCGTGGCTCCGCTCACGGCCGCTGTGTACGGCATTCCCTCGGGCTGGTACACGCCGGACTTCCAGCCGATCGAGGATGCAGTGGCAGGCACTCTGCAGGTGCTCATCGACGAGCGTGCAGGCCAGCGCTTGGCATTGGTGGCGCTGTGGTGTGTGGGAGCTCAGCTCGTGGCGGACGGGCACCACTATGACCCCGCCAATGAGAAAGTGGCGGCGGTCTGGGGCAAGTTCGAGGAGTCGCGGAGGGGCATCTGCACTGCTGCGGGCATCAGCCAGTCCGAGCTGAAGACGCTCGTTCTGCACAGGGCTTTGCACAGCATCCTTGCCGAGCGGATCAAGTCGCTTCTGACTGGCGACACCGCTGCGGAGGTATACGAGGCCATGGGCTTTCCGATCTTGCACATCAGGGTGCCGCTCAAGGACAACACGGGCTCCAGCATGGACGCGCTCGGTGCAATTCGAGTCGAATTCCGGAACGCCGTGGCGCAGGTGGGCGGACGTGATGTGGACGCCAGGTTGACGGCGGTGTTCGAGTGGGTGCGCGGCAAGACGTATGCCGAGTTGGCCGCGCTCTCGGCGGACTGCGCTCGCCTCTCCGCGACCGCGGGCCCCACGATCGCCTACCGCGCAGGGTGGCTGAAGGGATGGGCCTCTGCCGGCGGCGTGAAGTTCAGCTGCTTGCGGGCCCGCACTGCCTCGCGATTGCAGAAGGACTTCACCAGCGAGTTCGTATTGGGCTTCGCGCAGGGCGAATCGTCGTGGAACGCTTACAAGGCCGCGGGGGTGGAGGCGGCGACGCCAGCCGCCCTGCCCAACATCGCTTCCGTCGGCCTGACCAGCGCCGTGGCCGCGGAGATCAATGCCTTCCACGAGAGAGATCGGCGGCGCGGACCCGCGCATTCCGCTCAACCTCGACTCGAACAGGGCGCCCGCGACGATGGCCAAGGTGGATCGGGCGAAGGCCGAGCATGCCGGCAAGGTCGACAATTGGAGGGCGCAGGCCCAAATGGCCCAGGCGATGGGCAACGCGGCGCCCGATTTTCCGGACCCGCTGGATTTGTCGGACCTCTTCTGATTTGCAGTGCTGGCTCCAACCGCGTTCTTGCCGCGAGGTGTCGAGGAATTCACGTCTTCTTATCGGGGCAACATGCTTTCCATATTGCCGGACTCCTGCTGCGACTCAGCCTTTGAGGGCGCCTCTTCCCTGGCCTGCATATTTGCCATGTTGTTGCATGTCCTTGCGACCCGGCAGTCTCTCTTCGCCTGACACGGCACCGCGGCCGTCAGCGGAGTCGCGGGCGCCACCGGTGCGCCATCTTCGACGAAGGAACCTGTCAGGTTCGAGTTGGTGCGCAGGCAAGGGGAAGGTTCCGCCGACGCAGTCCAGCTGGGAGAGCAAGTCCCACTGGATAGGCCAAGCGCGAGCAAACACGAGGACACGACAGTGGACTCGGATGACCTCGCTGCACAGATCGCTGTTCCGTCAAAGATTGCTGCCGATCATCACCGGGACACCATCATCATCATCATCACCTCATCACCATCATCATCCACATCATCATCACCATCATCATCATCGACACACCACCGCCACCAGCATCATCATCAACATCATCACCATCGGGGCACCATCATCTTCATCATCATCGGAACACCATCATCATCATCTCATCATCTTCATCATGAACAACATCGTCAACATCATCATCATCGGGACACCAACATCATCATCAGCAACATCATCAACATCACCATCATCGGGACACCATCATCATCGTTACCAGCAGCACCACCGTCACCACCATCATCATCATCATCGGGACATCATCATCAACATCAGCATCATCATCGGGCCACCATCATCAACATCATAATCACATCATCATCAACACCATCGAACACCATCGTCCTCATCATCGTCATCATCTTCAACATCATGACCATCGTCGGGACACCATCATCACCACCATCATTCCCATCAATAGCCCCATCATGAGCCTCATCCGCATCATCATCTGGACACCATCATCATCATCTGCATCATCATCATCTCATCATCCCATCATCATCCTCATTATCAGGATCACCAACATCATCATCATAGGGACACCATCATCATCAGCAACATCAGCATCATCAACATCATCATCATCGGGGCACCATCATCACCACCATCATGGCCATCAGCATCATCACCATCATCGGGACACCGTCATCGTCACCATCATCATCAACATCGTCATCATCGGTTCACCATCATCATCATCATCATCATCGGAACACCACCATCATCATCATGAACAACATCATCAACATCATCATCATCATCGGGACATCAACGTCATCAGCAACATCCTCATCATCAACATCCTCATCATCGGGACACCATCATCATCTTTACCATCATCATCACCGTCATCATTGGGACACCATAATCATCAGCGTCAGCGTCATCATCATCGGGCCACCACCATCAAAATCACCATCATCACCTTATCATCACCCGCATCATCAACATCATCATCATCATCATCGGGACACCATCATCGTCATCTCCATCACCATCAACATTATCATCAGCAGCATCATCGGGACACCATCATCACCATCATCCTCATCATCAACAGCATCATCATCAACCTCATCATCATCATCGGGACACCATCATCTTCATCTTCACCGCCATCATCGTTTCACCGTCATCATCATCATCAACATCACCAGGATCATCAACATTCTCGTCATCATCATCGGGACACCATCATCATCAGCAACATCAGCATCGTCAACATCATCGTCATCACCATCATCATCATCATCATCATCGGGACGCCATCATCATCACCACCACGGCCATCATCATCAACATCGTCATCGTCATCGTTATCATCATCATCGGGACACCGACGGGACACCAGCGGGACACCGCGCGCCACCAGTTGCCGGAAGTGAGACTTTTGGTCCGGCTGCGCCTCAGCCGGAGGCGGGACATTTTTCGCCCGCCCACGCAGCTTCGCCTCGCCCGCACGCACGGCACGCAGGAACACCAAACCGAAACCGATTTCCCGGTAGGGGGGCTACATATATGTATGTATATATATACATACATACATACATACATACATACATACATGCATACATACACACACACATATATATATATGTATATATAGAGATGCAAGACTGCAGTGGCGCTTCGCGCCATGCACCTTGGTCCTTGAAGATTGGTATGCAGGCGGAAATGGCAGGAAGATCAAGCGGACAATTTTGCGATAATTCCTTGCTGCCTTTTCTGGCATCGCCGTAAAAATAATGTTGTTCGCTATCCCCCCTCCATGCCTATTTTTCTTCATTCTCGCCATACCCTGGGTATTCTCCCCATCCTCCTCGGCTCGTTTTGCGGAGGCTCCTGGGGGCCTCACCAAAGTTCTCAGGCTTTCGTAAACCCTTCTGGAGGCCTCCTGGGCGTGTTCTGGGGGCTTTTGGAGCTTCCGAAGGCCAACCTGACTCTGACCTCTGTCTCCCTGAACGCCCCGGTCACGATTTGGAATGCTTCGGAGGGTGTCTTGGGGCCATCATGGGCCGCCATGGGGCTCTCTTAGGGCCATTTTGGACCCCTGTTGTGCCGTTCTGGGGCTCTCCTGGACTGCCTGGAAGCCCTTTCGGATGGTTGCGGGGCGATTTTGGAGCCTCCCAGGCGACCTCGGACGCCCAGAAGACCGCTGTCTTGGAGCGTCGGGAAGCCGAAAAGAGGAGAACCCGAAATTCACCAAAAACCTACATTAAATCTATGGTTATTCTTTCTTGGGGGTGCTCTTGGAGGCCTCTTGGTACGTTTTAGAGCGATCTTTCGGGGTATGACGGCTTCTTGGAGCGCTCTTGTGCTGTCTTGGGGTTCTTTGGGACGTCTCCGATGACCCCCATAATCGCCCCAGGTGTGCTGCGAAGGCTTGGCAAAACGCCCTGCAAGGCCGGGGGGCCGCCTCGAGGCCCGTCCGAAGGGTCCCAAAGCCCCAGGTCCAGGGAGTCCGGTTTTGGGGGGGGGGACGGGTTTTCCCCCCGCCCGGGCTTGCAAAAATATAGGAAGAGGGATATATATATATATATATATATATTATATATATATATGGATATATATATATACATATATATGTATGTATATGTATAGATGTGTGTATGTATGTATGTATGTATGTATGTATGTATGTATGTATGTATGTATGTATGTATGTATATATACACACATATAAACACATTTATACACATTCATACACATATACACATATATATGTGTGTATATAACAATGGAAGGCCGGGGGAGGGCGACAGAAGTAACATATGCATTTCCAAGAGATGAAAACGTTTTTGTGTTCAGGGTTTCCGAAATCGGCCATATAATACGGTGGGGATGTTTGTTCAGGAATGTGCCCAGGAGCCTTCATACCCTGGAGGACTCCTCATCTGACGAGGGTTGGGGTGATATCCATGGCCCAGCAGCAATCGGTATCCCACTTGCCTCCAGTCCCTGAAACCCTTACTCAAGGCTTCCTTGTCCAATGCCCTCACCGTTCTGGTACGTCTCAATTCAAGCGGTGGCGAAGCGTCCGGGCTCGCCTATAGCCCCACCAAGCAATGTTCTAAGAACCTTTTGCGGTTCCCACGAAATGTTCTTAGAACATTTCTGGCGGATATTGTCTTGGTTTCTCGCATGGGGCTTATGTTCTGAGAACATTGCTTTTGTTCTTACAACGCTTCTGGGTTCTAAGAAGATTTCGCGGTAGGACTCCTAGCAATGCCGGGACGGTCGGTCCCTGCTCACTCTGTGCGCCCCACCTGGGCCCCTCCGCGGGTGACCCCTCGTGGGGCACCGCCTGGGCCGCAGGCCTGCCCCGCCACGGCCTGCGCGGCCTGCCAGACGGACGCGCCCGCCGCGCCCGGCGAGGAGGCGTCGCCCCCCCCCCGGGCCGGCAGCTCCCGCCGCCGGCCGTCGCGGCCGTCGCCGCCGTCGCCGTCGCCGCCGTCGTCGTCGTCGCCGTCGCCGTCCTCGGCGTCGCCGGCGCCGTGGGAGTGCGTATGCGCTCCCAGAGACCCCCTTGCCTCGAGCCACGAGAGAAAGAGCACGGCGGGAGGCTTGTCTCGCTGGTTTCGCCCTCCGGGGGGGCCCTGGCCGGGCCTCCGGGGCCCGCAAGGAGCGACCCGGGACGAGAAGACGGCCGTGGGGAACGGAATGGGTCGAGACTTCTGCCAGAGGTCTCGATTCTCCTCCCTCTGGCCGCTCCTCCCCCTCCTCCTCCTCCTCCCCCTCCTCCTCCTCCTCCTCCTCCTCCTCCTCCTCCTCCTCCTCCTCCTCCTCCTCCTCCTCCTCCTCCTCTTCCGCCTCCTCCTGTCGGCGTGTGCGAGAAAAGAAAGCAGTGTCAGCAGGCATCGTTGGCCGGTTGCCACGCCTGCTGGCCGCGCGGAGCGATGACACATGCTAGCGAAACACACACACACACACACACACCACAACAACAACAACAACAACAACAACAACAACAACAACAACAACAACAACAACAACAACAACAACAACAACAACAATTACTAGCACGTGGGGACACTCCGTTCTCACCAGTGCCAGGGTTTTCATAGGAGGCGGGCAATACCCCCACTTTGTGGGGGGGCCGGTTCAAGCTCTACCAAATTTCCAAACGACTCTTCGCCACCACCCACACCCAGCTTCCCGCCCTATGACGTTCGGACACTTCACTTCGTGGCATGCGGACGACCGTGGCTACTATTCAGGGCCCCGCGGCCGACGACGACGGCGTGCGCGCGCGAAGAAAAAACGAATGTGTCCCGCATGGTATTATTTGACAGGGATGATGGCCCTGGCAGGTGCGCAACCGTTGTCGCAGAAGTTCGAAAAAGTTGCTCGCAAAAGCCCGTTTGACAGAAATGTTTAAAAAGTGTTGGGTTTCCTACGAATCCGCAAGAGCGCGCGGGATGAAATTTTGACATTTTTTTGTTGAAAAACCATTGGTTTTTTGATGTTTTTATGTTAAAATCGCTACGAACACTAAGCTTTTGGAAGGATTTCGTCTTGCGCGCGCGAATGTCCACTTTACCTTATTTTTTGCAAGGGATTCTTGAAATTTGATTATATTAGAACAAGAAATGTCATTTTATAGTGTTTTTTGCAAGGGAAAACGGATTACAACAAAACAACCGGATCTGGACCCATCCACTTTTCTGAAGCTTTCGCGAAAAAATGATGAAAATGTAGCTGCGGCCTAGGCGCGCGGGGGGGCCGTGCACCAGGGGTCCCAACAATAATTATTCTTTAGAATTAATAATGTTCAACAACAACAACAATTACTAGCACGTGGGGACACACCGTTCTCACCAGTGCCAGGGTTTTCATAGGAGGCGGGCAATACCCCCACTTTGTGGGGGGGCCGGTTCAAGCTCTACCAAATTTCCAAACGACTCTTCGCCACCACCCACACCCAGCTTCCCGCCCTATGACGTTCGGACACTTCACTTCGTGGCATGCGGACGACCGTGGCTACTATTCAGGGCCCCGCGGCCGACGACGACGGCGTGCGCGCGCGAAGAAAAAACGAATGTGTCCCGCATGGTATTATTTGACAGGGATGATGGCCCTGGCAGGTGCGCAACCGTTGTTGCAGAAGTTCGGAAAAGTTGCTCGCAAAAGCCCGTTTGACAGAAATGATTAAAAAGTGTTGGGTTTCCCACGAATCCGCAAGAGCGCGCGGGATGAAATTTTGACAATTTTTTTTTTATATATAAAAAAAAAAAAAAAAAAATGTTTTTTTATGTTTTTATGTTAAAATCGCTACGAAAACTAAGGTTTTGGAAGGATTTCGTCTTGCGCGCGCGAATGTCCACTTTACTTTATTTGTTGCAAGGGATTCTTGAAGTTTGGTTATGTTAGAACAAGAAATGTCCACTTTAGCTTATTTTTTGCAAGGGAAAACCGATCGTAACAACACAACCGGATCCGGACTCCCCCGTTTTGCCTGAGACTTCCTCACGAAAATGATGAAAATGAGGCTGCGGCCTAGGCGCGGCGGGGGGGTCGTGCACCAGGGGCCCCAACAATAATTATTCTTTAGAAGTAATAATGTTCAACAACAACAACAACAACAACAACAACAACAACAACAACAACAACAACAACAACAAAAAGAAGAAGCGGATGCCGACGCAAAAACACACACACACACACACACACACACACACACACACGCGCACACACACGCGCGCACACACGCACACACACACACACCTCGAGCGCCCTTCTAGTCTTAGTCGGATGCTCTTACCTCGATGTCCAAGGTACGAGTGATACAAACACACACACACACACACACATACACACACACACACAAAACACTAAAAAGCGCACAAGTTATGAATTCAATGCTCTGGCTTTGTACACATAACCCTGGGGGTCGACGTTATGAATGAATCGAGACGTCGGGGGTCGGGGTTCCAAGATGTCGGTGGCTCCCCAAATCTCCCGAGCGCTCCGCAGGGGCCTCCAGAAGCGAGTGCCGTTGGGGGCTCCAGAGTCCTTGCAGCACATCCTGAGCCAATCGCAGCATTCGACTGCGTGCACGTACAGTGGAGGCCCATGCCAAGAAGCACCCTGCTCGCCTCCAAGGTGCCCTGGGTCTCTTGGGTTTTAGTGGTTTTGCTACGGAGGGCGCGACGCTCCCACACCAAAAATCGAGGGACGTCCTGGGGTTCCAGGGTTGGGTTGCTTGTGGAAGGTTTCTTGTGGTCGGGCCTGCACTGCAAGAGTGACCCTTCGCCTTGCGTGACCTTTGGTGCGGGCCCACCGGTCCCCCCGATCACGGGGCCAGGTGCGACGGCAGCGGCCGACGCTCCTGGTGTCTGGCCCCCTCGCGCCCGCCCCCTGAGGCCGCGCACCAAGTCACTCTTGCCTGCAGTCGGGGCGCCGAAGAAGGAGCCCTTTTCGCTGGGAGGGGGGGCTCCGTGTCCCTTCGCTGTTTCACAGCTTGCCTCGGGTTTTCCTCGTGTCTTCGATGGGAGATCGAAGTCCAACCAGCTCATGGAAAAAGGAGCCTTCTTCCTTGTTCGGGGTTCCTTCGGTCAACGCCCCGACTGTAGGGTTGAGTCGGGCCTGTCCCCCTCCAGGGGGATCTTCGACGAAAAACAAAAGATACCCCCAACATAGCCCAAAAGTGCTCAAAAAATAGCCAGGCGACTATTTGTTGAGCATGTGCTGGCCATCTGGGAGTACTTTTGGGGCATGTTTTATTCTTCGTCAACGATAACAACGATAACGATAACAACGATAACAACGATAACGATAACAACGATAACGATAACGATAACGACAACGACAACGATAACAACGATCACAACGACAACGATCACAACGATAACAACGATAACAGCGATAACGATAACAACGATAACGATCTTATTATTCGTCGATAATCCCCCTGTAGGGGGACACGCCCGACAGAACTGCAGGGTCGCTCTTGCGGGTGGCTGGTCCGCGGGCCCGCACGAGGCGCGCCACGCCGCCCTTCGCGCGCCGGCCCCGGCGCGGTGAAAAGCGCGCGCCTCCTGGCCGGCGGGGGGGGGACCCCAGGAGGTCCTCCTCCTCCTCCTCCTCCTCCTCCTCCTCCTCCTCCTCCTCCTCCTCCTTTTCCTCCTCCTTTTCCTCCTCCTTTTCCTTCGCCTCCTCCTCCTCTTCCTCCTCCGCCTCCTCCTCTTCCTCCTCCGCCTTCTCCTCCTCCTCTTCTCCTCCTTCCCTCCTCCTCCTCCTCCTCCTCCTCCTCCTCCTCCTCCTCCTCCTCCTCCTCCTCCTCCTCCTCCTCCTCCTCCTCCTCCTCCTCCTCCTCCTCCTCATGCCCCTCCTCCTCCTCCAGGCGGACCCTTCAGGCGCCCCGAGACGGCCCAGGGGCGCCCGAAGACGCCCAAGGTGGCGCAGCAAGATTGCCCAGGAGGCGGCAGAGACGCCCCGGGAGCGCTCCGAGGGACCTCCCAAAAGAGAGGCAGAGATCACAGTTTTACCACTTGGCGTCTGCGAGAGTTAGCGCAACCGCCTTCCCAGGCTTCCGACGCTCCAAGACTCGGCGGCGAGCAAGGGGGGGAAGTGAGGAGGAGAAGGCCTTCTCAGACGGCGACGGGACTTCTCACAAGCCCTCGCGCCTTCTGAGACGTTTTCTGTGTCTTCGGGGAAGGCTCGGGAAACTTCTCGGAAGGCTGGTGGACTTCCGAGCCTTCTGAGAAGGCCTTCTCCTTCTCACTTCCCCCCCTCGCTCGCCGCCGAAAGACGGCCCATGAGGACCCCAAGATCGCCCCAGGATGGCCCAAGAGGCTCCCAAGAGGGCCCCAGGACAGCCCACGAGTTCCCCGAGACGCCCCCCGGGCGTGGCAACATTCGTGCGCACCGCCCCGCTGCGGGCCCCGAGAACATCTCCTTCCTCCTCTTCCTCCTCCTCCTCCCCCTCCTCCTCCTCCTCCTCCTCCTCCTCCTCCTCTTCCTCCTCCTCCCAGGGCTCCGGTCGTGATGTTTCGCGACCCTGCAGGTTTTTCGCTAACTCGGATCGAAGGGAAGGGCCCAGGATGATCCTGGCCGGCGCCACACGCCCATCGTTGTGAAAGTAGGCCTTGCTTGGCGCATTCCTGCTTCGAGAGTCGCGCGGTGTTCCCTCTTCCCTCCTCTTCAGGGGGCGGGCGGAAGCCCAATCTACTTCCAGCGCCTACTTCATGGCTCTACTTCATGGTTCCTATTTCCAGTCCAGGGTTCGCTAGGGATTGGCTCCCTTCCAAAATCGCCGAAACCCTCCCGAAACCCTCAGAAAACCCTGCTGGAAGGGTTTCTGGAGGCTTCCCGGAGGGTTCCGGAAGGGTCTGGGAGGGAGGGTTTTCGCCGTGTGTGGGGGGGGGAAACCAGTCCCTAGCGAACCTCTGGCGTCCTGAACCTGATTACAGCGCCGTTTTAAATACATTCTCCGCGTGCGCATCATGTATTAAACATGCAGGGGTTTAGTACGAAAAACAACGAGGAGTTCCTGCAGATATTTACTCATACATTAATCATGTATTAAAAATCCTATATAAAAAATCCTCTGTATTAAAAACTGCCTTGTGCTTCCTTCGACCGACGGGTGGGTGCCCTGGGTGATCCGGTCGCCCCGTGCGGGCGCGCCGTCCGAGGCTCGCAGGGCGGGCTTCCGCCGTGCCCGGCGGGCTCGGAGGCACGGCGAGGCGGGAGCGGGTTCGGTGGCTTCCCGCGGTGGGCGAGCAGAGCAGCAAGAAGCCATGATCTATGAGGAAAAGGGCTCCTTCTTCGGCGCCCCGACTGCAGGCAAGAGTGACTTGGTGCGCGGCCTCAGGGGGGCGGGCGCGAGGGGGCCAGACACCAGGAGCGTCGGCCGCTGCCGTCGCACCTCGCCCCGTGATCGGGGGGACCGGTGGGCCCGCACCAAAAGGTCACGCAAGGCGAAGGGTCACACTTGCAGTGCAGGCCCGACCACATGAAACCTGCCACAAGCTGCGAAACAACGAAGGAACACGGAGTCCCTCCGCAGCGAGATTCCTGGAGGCCTCGCGCGGCGCGTAATAGTGTGTTGCTTGGTCCGCACGTCAGATCCGTAAGCTATGGGTCGACGCTCGCGAGGCGCTGCTCCGGCGTTAGCCCGGCGTGAGCCCGACGCAGATCCGACGGGGATCTGATGTCATCAGGTCTCGAGTTGCCGCGCGAGGCCTCCACGATTTTCCTCACAACATGGTACAGTCGGGGCGCTGAAGAAGGAACCCTTTTCGTTGGGCAGGGGCTCGATGTTCCTTGATTGTTCTACAGCTTGCCTTAGGTTTTCATGAGATTTCCCATGGGAAATCGAAGTTCAACTTATGGGAGAAGGGGGCCTCGTTCCTTGTTTAGGGGGTTCCTTAGGTCAACGCCCCGACTGTAATGATACGTTCCCAGGCCACCTCGGGCAATGGCAAAAATCACCACGGCAGGTAGCTTGCTATTTTCGGCCTCTGGCGGCCCCCCCTGGGCCTCGGGGCCACCAACAGAAAACGACCCTGGACGAGACAGCGGCCCTGCTCTTTAGGGGGGGCGTGCCGCTCTCCCCGTTCCCGGGGCCAGCTCCGGCTGCCCAGGGCGATGCTTGTGTGCTCTCGGGGGAACGCAAGACCCGAGTAAGCCGGACCTCGGGTTTGCCGACGTGTTTTTGACGAGCGCGTCCTGGATTTTGACGGTCCAATTTTCGTGGGAGGTCTGCAGCGGGAGCTCGCATCAAATTTCAGATTGGGCCTCGTCATTTTTATGATGGCCCCGTCGGGCCAACCCGAGTCACCCGTACCCGAGTCTTACGTCTCCCCGATGCTCGTATGCTCTGTGGTTCGACGTCTCAAAAAATCATGACGTCGGGGGTCTGGGTTCCCAGGCATGCAACGTCCTGCAAAAAGCAGGACGGCGTCTTGCTCCCGAAAGTCCTGAATCTAGCGGCCTTTGCCGGGCCCCAGGACAGTCAAGGCAGGACTCACCGCGCATCTTGACGAAAATGACTGCCGCTTCGCGTATCCGCACCAGCCCATCCAAAACCGACGCCCAGGCGAGTCGAGAAGATCAGTCTTTGAGCGTCTTGTGTGCCTCGGGGATCCTCTTGAGGCCCCTTAGGGTCTCTTGGGAGCCTCCTGGAGGCCCCTTTGGCACCTCTTGGGACCGTCTTGGCGCCTCTTGGGGCCCGCTTTGGGCGCTCTTGGGAGCTTTGGGGGCGCTCTCGGAGCCATCATGGAAGGCATCGATCAAAAAAGAGGGGAGCTTCAATTACAGTGGGGGCCCATGCCAAGAAACACCCTGCCTGCCTCCAGGGTGCACTGGATGCCTTGGGTTTCGATGGTTTTGCTATGGAAAGCGTGACGTTCCCACACCAAAAATCCATGGACGTCCTGGGATCTCAAGGTTGGGTTTCTTGTGGAATGTTTCCTGTGGACTGGCCTCCGCTGTAGGGCCCCCCCTCGGGAGCCCAAGAAATCGCCTCCTGGGGCGCTCTTGGAGCGCTCTCGGGCGCTCTTGGGGCCATCTTGGAGGCCCCTCTGGGGCCCCTCTTGAGACCCTCTTGGGCCATCTTGGAGCCGTCCTGAGGCCTCGGAAAGCCACCGGAAGCGAAAAGGCGAGAAAGCAAAACACATTGATCTTCCCAAGGTATTGGGATGATGTTGACCTCTTGGCTCCTGGGGAGAGTCCGTGGCCACCTGGAGCCGTCTTGGAGCGTTTGGGGGGCCTCGTGGAGCATCTTGGGAGCCATCTTGAGCCATCTTGGGCTATCTTGAGCCATCGTGGGGGTCATTTGGGGCTCTCTGAGGCGCTCTTGAAGCCGTCTTGGGCCATCTTGGACGCTCCTTCTCCTCGCGAATCCCTCCGTCCAAGTCCAGGGGAGGGGGTAAGAGGGCGGTGCAAACCCCTCCCCGAAGGGGAAGGAGGGAGTTGGAAGAGGAAGCGCTCTAGACCACCTACGCCCAGAGGGCTAGTGGGACTTTAAGACACCACATGTCTGGGCTCCAAGGTACATGTTTTCTGATTCGGCGCTTCGACATTGGGCGGAACGGGGGGGGAGGGGGGGGTCTAAATGCGACTGTTTACAACAGTGCGTCCCATGGGATGAATACACCTGCTTAAAACAGGCGCCAAAAGCAGCCAATATCTACTCCACGGGGGGGGGAGGGGGGGGGGCGAGGGCCCGCGCCGATCGGCAAAACAACGAATAAGAGAACGATCGTAAGACTTGCGTGCTTCTCCAGGCTGTCCGCACGGCGCCGGCGGGCCTGTCGGACGACTCTGTGCGGCACGGCCGGCCTGCGAGGAGCCCGCGGTCCACGGTCGGAGCCTGCACTCTCGGGGAGCCCGCCTGGCACCGCTCGGACGTGTGCCTGTTCTCTCGGGGGGAACATCGAGGAGCATCTTGGATCCCCTCGCGAAAAAAAAGCACGCGCGGAGCCCAAACAATTACACGGGGAATGGGCGTCGGCGCGACGGCGAGCCCGTGGGGGAGGCGTGCGAGAACCCCCCAGGGAGGAGGGAGGAGGGAAGAGGGAGGAGGGAGGAGCGGGAGGGAGGAGGGAGGGGGAGGAGGGAGGGGAGGAGGAGGAGGAGGAGAGGAGGAGGAGGAGGAGGAGGAGGAGGAGGAGGAGGAGGAGGATGAGGGAGGAGGAGAGGAAGAGGGGAGGAGGAGGAGGAGGAGGAGGAGGAGGAGGAGGAGAGGAGGAGGGGGAGGAGGAGGAGGAGGATGAGGAGGAGGTGAGTAGGAGGGGAGGAGGGGGAGAGAGGGGAGGAGGCGGAGAGAGGGGGGAGGAGGGGGGATGGAGGAGGAGTAGGAGGAGAGGAGGAGGAGACCGATGGTGCCGCGCGGCCGCCGGGAGGACGAGTGGCGGCAGGCTGTGCACGCGGCAGCGCCGTCGGGGCCCAGGGGGGGGCCCTCCTGGGCCCCCGGGCGCGGTGCGCGGGGAGGGCCCCCCGCCTCCTCCTCCGCCTCCTCCTCCTCCTCCTCCTCCTCCTCCTACCTCCTCCTCCTCCTCCTCCTCCTCCTCCTCCTCCCCTCCTCCTCCTCCTCCTCCCTCCTCCTCCTCCTCCTCCTCCTCCTCTTCCTCCTCCTCCTCCTCCTTTTCCTCCTCCTCCTCCTCCTCCTCCTCCTCCCCCCCCCACCGGTTCGGAATCCGACGAGCACGGGACGAACTCCGAACCCTACCTATGTCTCCAATCGAGTTGGGAGAATCAATGGTTGGCGGGCGGGCTCTCTTGGCCCGTCTTGGGCGCCTTTGGATCCGTTTTGGGGCACGCTTAGGCCGCCTTGAGGCCTCCTCTTGGAGGCCTCCTGGGCCGTCTCAGGGTGGTCTCGGGAGCTTCTGGGCCGTCCTGGAGCGTCGGGAAACCGAAAAGGCGAGAACGCCAACATTCCCTCAAAAACCTAAGCTTGGCATCGCTCGGACGTGTGCATGTTTCCTCCGGCGAGGACCATCCAGCAGCATCCTTTTTACTTTTTGGCGGAAAAAAAACACGCACGAGACCGAAAAAACTCAGGGAATGGACGTCCGAGCGATGGCCAGTAAGGGCCTCCTCCTCCTCCTCCTCCTCCTCCTCCTCCTCCTCCTCCTCCTCCTCCTCCCCTCCTCCCCCTCCTCCTCCTCCTCCTCCTCCTCCTCCTCCTCCTCCTCCTCCTCCTCCTGCTCCTCCTCCGAGGGCGGCCTGGTTCGGACGTCGCCGCCCCGGCCGCCCCCGGAGAGGCCGCGGAGGACGCGGCGGCCCTGGCGCGCCGGGTGGAGGCGCTCCACGCGCAGATGGCGGCCCTGCAAGGCCTCCTCCTCCTCCTCCTCCTCCTCCCCCTCCTCCTCCCCTCCTCCTCCTCCTCCTCCTCCTCCTCCTCTCCTCCTCCTCTTCCTCCTCTCCTCCTCCTCCTCCTCTCCTCCTCCTCCTCCTCCTCCTCCTCCTCCTCCTCCTCCTCCTCCTCCTCCTCCTCAAGGCCCGCCGGGGGCTCGGGCCGTGCCGCCGCCGGCCAGACGCAGGAGTGGCCTTTCGCCGGAGTGGCCTTTGGTGCGGACCCATTGGGGTCCCCCGATCGCCGGATGCGTTGTGTCGGGCGTGTCCCCCTATACAGGAGGATCTTCGACGAAAAATAGGAAAAATACCCCCAAAAAATGCTTCAAAAAGTTCAAGACATATTATTTATCGAATGCGGTGCCGGCCGTGCCGCCGTCGGCTAGACGCAAGAGTGTCGGGCCGGACGAAAGGGGGGGATTGGGAAAGGGGGGGTTACGAAATTTGCCGCATGCAGCTGGTTTCGGCCCCACCGAGGGGCCCATTCCTCGATGCATAGTCGCCTCCAGCGCCGGGAGACGCCGGGAAAGTCAGCTACGTGAGCTGATTCTCACCCCCCCCCTTTGATATCCCCCCTTTCGGCCGACCCGAGAGTGACCTTTCGCCGGAGTGACCTTTGGTGCGGACCCACTGGGGTCCCCCGATCGCCGAATGCGGTGCGATCGCAGCGTCTGGCGCGCCTGGGTTTGGCCCCCCCCCCGCGGCCCTCAGAAGGCCCCGCACCAGAGGTCACTCTTGCCCAGGGTCGCTCTTGCGTGTAGCCTGAAATCGGGCGTGCCACTCTACAGGCGGACTGTTCAAGAACAGTGAACCACCGGTCTGGGGACGATGTTTCGATTCTTGGTTGACGGTTTTTGAATCTATGCTCGGACAATTTTTGCTATCCTGCCTCCAGAATCCGCCTGTAGGAGGGCATGCCCGGCCTGAGTGCAGCCGACGCCGCAGCGGCCGCCGCCGCCGCGACCCGGGGCGGCCCCGGCGCCCGTCGGCCGCCGGCAGCTCCCAAGAGGCCCCCAAGATGCCCCGGCAAGACCCCCCGGAGGCCACCTCAGGGATGGCCTGACGACGACCCGAAGAAGCCCCGCGACGCCTTGAAAAGGTCCCAAAACGGTCGGAGTCGGGGGCGGACAGAACCCCCAACAGTGACACGTCGATTAATTAGTGAATTGTCCGTTTTCGGTTCTCGAGAGGGCGCCGTGGCCGTTGTTTTCCAGGCTTGCGCCCGCCAGGTTTTTGTTTGGCCTCAGGTCGTTTTCACTAAACCACGTTCTACTAAAGTCAGAGCGTGAATTACCTACCCCGCATTCGCTTCCAGGCAAAACCACGTCATACCACGCGCCTCCTCGTCAAGCGGCCTGACCAGCACAGGCCGTCGTTTGGCATCGCTTGGTATCTCCTGGAAGCGAGGGTGGTCAAAAGCGAGGTAGGCTTGTCTGCCCCTTATAAAAGGGGGGTCTGTCCAACCCCGACGGAGAGGTTCCTCTGACGTCCGCGGAGGCCCCGGAGGCCTTCCCTCGCCGCGGGTTCTCGCTCGCGCTCCAGCGGCCGCGCCCCGACGCGCGGGGCGCTCCCGCGGGGGGGGGGGGGCCTCGCCAAAGGGCCGGCCGCGAGGAGCGCCTCGCGGGGCGGGCCCTCCCCGAGGTCCGGGCGCCGCTGCGGTCGAGGGAAGGCAAAAAAGCGCATGCGCCCAAACTTTTGGAGCTCCGCGCGGATTGCTTGGGCCCCTCCACTCGCCGGTCCGCCGCTGAGGTGCTGCGTGAGGCTCCGCCTAGCCGCTTTAGGTGAGGCTGCGCCCCGTTGCTTTACGTGAATTTGTCGTTGCGTGACCCGCTTTGACTGGACTCGCCGCTGGCGCGCTCGCCTGCGGCCGCTGACTAAAAAGCGGATTTCTTGGGTCTGCGTTGGGGCTCCCTGGCGGCGCCTCTGGCGCCGTCCCTGGCGCGCTCCGCGCGCCAGGGACGGGGGTCCAGCACGGATCCAAGCAATCCGCGCGGAGCGCCAACAGTTCATGCTTATATGCCGTTGTTTCTGCCTCCATTCGTCGGGGCTCGAGTGTGCGACGAGGGTTTCCGGCGTCTTCGTCGGTTCGCGGCGGTTGTCCAGCCTCAGGGTGCATCCCAGCGCTTGGCATCGTTCGGACGTGTGCAGTTTTTCCTCGGTGGGGACCATCGAGGAGCATCCTTGATCATTTGGCAAAATTATCCCGGCAAAGCAACCTAACAGCGATGTGTAGGAGCATATCTGGAAGCATTCCCCTTCAGATTCAGATGAGAATCCTGTTGTAGAATTCTGCTGTTCTCGCAGTCGTAGTCGCATTCGCGATGACAGTCGCAGTGGCAACGGCAGTCGCAGTCACAGCCTCAGCCTCAGCCTGCCTCAGCCTCAGCCTCAGCCTGCCTCAGCCTCAGCCTGCCTCAGCCTCAGCCTCAGCCTGCTTCAGCCTCAGCATCAGTCTGCCTTCAGCCTCGGCCTCAGCCTCAGCCTGCCTCAGCCTCAGCCTGCATCAGCCTCAGCCTCAGCCTCAGCCTGCCTCAGCCTCAGCCTGCCTCAGCCTCAGCCTCAGCCTGCCTCTGCCTCAGCCTCAGCCTGCTTCAGCCTCAGCCTCAGTCTGCCGTCGGCCTCGTCCTCAGCCTCAGCCTGCCTCAGCCTCAGCCTCAAGCCTGCCTCAGCCTCAGCCTCAGCCTCAGCCTGCCTCAGCCTCAGCCTGCCTCAGCCTCAGCCTGCTTCGCCTCTGCCTCAGTCGGCCTCGGCTCGGCCTCAGCCTTCAGCCTGCCTCACTCCGCCTGCAGCAGCCTCTCTGTGAAAGCAATGCCGCGCGTGCATCGCATCACCTGCCTCAGTCCTCAGCCTCAGCCTCAGCCTGCTTCAGCCTCAGCCTCATTCTGCCTTCAACCTCGGCCTCAGCCTCAGCCTGCCTCAGCCTCAGCCTGCATCAGCCTCAGCCTCAGCCTCAGCCTGCCTCAGCATCAGCCTGCCTCAGCCTCAGCCTCAGCCTCAGCCTCAGCCTGCCCTCAGCCTCAGCCTGCTTCAGCCTCAGCCTCAGTCTGCCTTCAGCCTCGGCCTCGGCCTCAGCCTGCCTCAGCCTCAGCCTGCCTCAGCCTCAGCCTCAGCCTGCCTCAGCCTCAGCCTCAGACTGCTTCAGCCTCAGCCTCAGTCTGCCCACCTCAGCAGCCCAAGCAAGAAGAACTGCTCAGCATTCAAAATGTGGCCCGGGAATGTAGTTCTGGGAATTCGAAGACACGAAGTGGCCTACAGTTGTCTCCGGGCATTCAAAATTTGGCCCGGAATGGAGAATGTCTCTGGGAACTCGAAGAGCACGAAGTGGCCTACAGTTGGCTCCGGGCATTCAGAATGTGGCCCGGGAATGGAGTTCTGGGACCTCGAAGACCACGAAGTGTGTAACCGTTGGCTAAACAAAAGTCCCCGGCATCTCCCCGGATCGCGCCCAGACCCCCTGGGGCTTCATGATGCTCTCTCTTGACCTTGCTAGAAACCTATCAGTCTTCGCTGTTACGTAAAAACCACGTACCCCCTACAGGGGGATTGTCGACGAAGAATAAAAAAATACCCCCAAAAAATGCCCCAAGAAGGTCCAAAGAATGCTCAAAAGATAGTCCCCGGACTATGTTTGGACTATGTTTTGGATTATTGTTGGGTTTTTTTGTTTTTCGTCGAACATCCCCCTGCAGGGGGGCAGGCCCTCGAGGAGCATCCTTGATCATTTGGCGAATAAAGCCACGCACGAGACCGAAAGAAGCACAGGGAAGGGACGTCCGAGCGATGGCGAGAGCGGCGGCGCCTCGCCGCGGGCGCTCCGGGGGTGCCGCGGAGCGCCCCGAGCGGCCGCAGGAGGCCCGAGCTGCGGCCCGAGAGTTTGGCACCGCTCGAGGACGTGTGGATTTTTTTTTTGGCCGGCGAGGACCATCGAGGAACATCCAGGGCCATCGAGCAAAAAAAAAACACGCACGAGGCCGAAGAGTGCACGGGGAGTGGGCGTCCGAGCGGCGGCAGGGCGGAAGCTGCTCGCCCTCTCCGGTCTCCCGGGGCCCTCGCCCGGCGCCCCTGGGAGCGTCGGCGGAGGGCGCGGGGCAGGGAGCCGGCCTCGGAGAGGGCGCGGCCGGGCTGCCAGGGGATCCCGTGCCGTCGGGGCGCCGACGAAGGAGCACTTTTCGGTGGGGGGGCCTGGGGCGGTGGGGCTTCTCACTTCTTAAGAGGAGGAGGGCGAGGAGGGGGAGGAGGAGGAGGAGGAGGAGGAGGAGGAGGAAGGAGGAGGAGGAGGAGGAGGGCCTCCGTGTTCCCGAATCGTGTCACAGCTGCTGGGAGGACGCGGCTGGGCCTCCAGGGATCCCCCAGGAGGAGGACGCGGACTGCTTCAGAAACATAAAAGCTCGGAGGACGCGGCCGGGCCTCCAGGGATCCCGTGCCGTCGGGTCGCTGAAGAGGGAGCGCTTTTCGTCGGGGAGGGATTCCGTGTTCCTGAACTGTTTCACAGCTCGCCTTAGGCTTGGCATCGCTCGGACGTGTGCATTTTTGCCTCGGTGGGGACCATCGAGGAGCATCCTTGATCATTTGGCGAAAAAACCACGCACGAAACCGAAAAAAACACATGGAATGGACGTCCGAGTCATGGCGAGTAGGTTGTCCCTTGGGTTTCGATGGGATCTCGAAGTTTCACTCATGGACAACAAGGGGCCTCGTTCCGTATTGAGGGCTCCTCAGGTCAACGCCCCGATTGTGTTAGAAGGGCCTGGATGTTTCTACGAAGCCTTCTCGAAAGGCCGCCACTCCTCGCGCAATCACCTTGCTCGCGCCGCCAATCGTTTGCTCGCCATGAAGGAATCCTCAGGGCAAGGGCGTCCCGAGTTGTTTTTCAGTGCTTGGCGCCCATGGGTCCTCCCTGGGCCGCAGGACCGTCTTTAAATGATGGTGTGGGTGCCTTGAGGCCCTCTCCCACCGAGGCAGGCCGCGAGCCGCTCGGGGGACGAGGGCGCCGGCCACGCGGCATCGTGAGTGCTGCTGCAGAGCCTCTCGGCCAGAGCGTCAACTCATGGACTTAACCATGATGAAACCAAACTTGTTCGGCCACAGCTTTCAACAGCAGGCGTCCAGGTGCTTGCCACGAGGTGTGAAGGCGCCCCGTGATAGTTCAGACAGCTTTCGTGCCGCTGGCGATGCGATGCGATGTACGAAAAACCGCTCCCGGGAGAAGAGCCCCCTGGGTCTGAGACCCGTTTCCTTCAATACCTGTCGTTTTCATGCAAATTGTCGGGAGCATCGAAGTTTAAGTCACCCCAGTGGCGCGAAGATAATGGACTTGAAAGTTGCCCGTCGCCGAGGTGGCCTCGTGACGGCGCGAAGGCAGCTGCGCGTCGCGCATCATGGCGCACGATGCGCAAAGTTGGTTGACGAGGAAATGAGGACGGAAAGAATGGGGACAAAGACCAGCAAGGGGCAGCGTTTGGGGGGGATAGGCTCAGGGGGGGCATCGACTCCCAATCGTCCATTCATCTACGATAGGGGCCCGATAGCCCGCCCGGCCCAGGAACAAGCGGATTCGCTATCGAGGGCGTATCGCCGATCTTTCGGCAAGGTGGCATGGCTGACTCAGCTCGATGCTTCCCTCCTGAGCCAGTTCCCTCCGATCGTGCACCCTCACCCCCAGGCCTGGCCAACCCCCAGGAGGCGTCCCAGCTCCTCCTCCTGCCTCCTGCTTCCTGCTGCCTACTACTGCATCCTGCCTCCTCCTCTTCCTCCTCCTCTTCCTCTTCATCATGCCTCCTCCTCCTCCCCCTCTCCTCCACCTCGTCCTCCTCCTCCTCCTCCTTCTCCGCCTCGTCCTCCCTCCTCCTCCTCCTCCTCCTCCTCCTCCTCCTGCGCGTTTGGCGCGTCCGCGACTCGAGTGGCCGTCCTCCTTCCTTCATCGTCCCGAGGCCATCTCTCCCCCCTCCCCCCCCCTGGTCGGGTGCCTCCGCTGCTTGCTCAGTCTTGGGTTGGCTCCCTGGATGTCTCTCCTTTCCCTCGCCGTTTCGCTCGCCCCGCGCTCGTGCCCCCGTTTCTCGGGGCGGCGGAGATCGCCTCCCCGAAAAGCGAGAGACTGGCGGTTCATCTTGGGAGGGGCATCGAGCTGCCCTCTCTCTCTGGTCGGGGCGGGGGGAGGGGGTGGGGGGCGGTGATCGACCCGACCAGGCGAACCTGTGAAGGTGCATCCTCCTGCCTGCGCAGGCCCGCTCGCCGCGTCGGATACACACGCGCCAGCGGTGCCGCCCCGCGGCACCAGGGCGGGAGCGCAGGGGCTCCCTGCTGCGGGGCCCCTCGCGCGCCAGTGGTGGAGGCGGGGCGAGCGGGGGGGAGAGCGGACGGCCCGCGAGGCGCCCCGGGCAGGCCAAGGCAGAGAGCCGCTTAAGCCGTGCATGCATCTCACTCGCAGGGGGCCTCCCTGCCGTGTTCAGGCCCTGTCGTGGTCTGTTGTTCGGCTTCGCCCCCGATTCGCTTGTCCTTATCCTTATCCTCCTCCTCCTCCTCCTCCCCTCCTCCTCCTCCTCCTCCTCCTCCTCCTCCTCCTCCTCCTCCTCCTCCTCCTCCTCCTCCTCCTCCTCCTCGTCCCTCCTTACCCTTATCCTCCTCCTCCTCCCTCCTCCTCCTCCTCCCTCCTCCTCCTCCTCCTCGCCCTTCTGAGCCAGGTCCCCCCGATCGTGCACCCTCCCCCCCATGCCTGACCACCCCCGAAGAGGCCTCCCAGCTCGCCCCAGTCGGGGCGGGCAACAAGGGGGCCGCGTCACGTGTCGATCGTTTCCGTCGGCTCTCTGCGGTGTTCCTGTTCCAGCCTCGGGTTTTTTGGGGGGCTGCTCCTCCTCATCATCCCCCTCCTCCATGGAGGGGGCGGCATGAGGGAGGAACGACTAAGAAGAGGTGGAGGGGGAGGAACGAGGGAATTGGGGAGGACGGAAGGGGGAGGAGGAACGATGATGATGATGATGATGATGATGATGATGATGATGATGATGATGATGATGATGATGATGATGATGATGATGATGATGATGATGATGATGATGATGATGATGATGATGATGATGATGATGATGATGATGATGATGATGATGATGATGATCAGGAGGAGGAGGAGGAGGAGGAGGAGGAGGAGGAGGAGGAGGAGGAGGAGGAGGAGGAGGAGGAGAGGAGGAGGGAGGAGGAGGACGAGGAAGGAGGCGGAGAAGGAGGAGGGGGAGAAGAGAGGAGGAGGAGGAGGAGGAGGAGGAGGAGGAGGAGGAGGGAAGGTGGAGGGTGGATGAGGAGGAAGAGGAGGAAGGGGAGGAAGAGACGGGCTGAAGGAGGAAGAATGAGGAAGAGGAGGAGCTGAAAGCAGGAGGAAGGAGGAGGAGAGGGGAGGAGGAGGAGACAGGAGACAGAAAGGAGGAGGAGGAGGAGGAGGAGGAGGAGGAGGAAAGACACCACGACAAGAAGGGCAGCACAACAGCAGCGGCCCGCGCGATTTCCCCCTCGAAGGCTGGCTCCTGCAGGGCTCCGGCCTCCTCGGCGCGGCGGCGCCGCAGCAGACGGCCCCGCCGTAGGGGCCACGCCCGGGCGTCCGCCGCCGGCCGGTCCGCCTGCTGCCTCCTGTCTTCTCCTGCCTCCTCCCCCTCCTACTCCTACTCCTCGTACTCCTCCTCCTGATCCTCCTACTCCTCCTCGTCCTCCTCCGCCTCCTCCTGTTGCCTGCTCCTCCTGCTGTCTCGTCCTCTCTCCTGCCTCGTCCTCCTCGTCCAACTCGCACAACTTCTCCTCCTCCTCCTCCTCCTCCTCCTCCTCCTCCTCCTCCTCGTGTTCCTCCTCCTCATTACCATCACCTTATCATCAGCATCATCAGCATCATCATCATCATCATCAGCATCATCAGCATCATCAGCATCATCAGCATCATCATCAGGAGGAGCAGCATGAGCATCATTACCATTATCATCATCACCATCCGTTGCCATTTTGGCTCAAGCCATTTGGGCTCAAGCCGCGCCGCTTCTCCGGGCACGCGCCGGGGGTCCGCGGGGGTCGCGCGGCGCACCAGGTCTCCCGACGCACTCGTGGGGTTCGCGGGCAGTGCGCTGCCACCGGGGACCATAGCAGCTATGGCGCACCAGCTGCCGCCTGGCCTGGAGACCAAGAATATTTTCCTGGACTGCCAGTCGCCATGGATCGACTACGTCACAGTGGGCGAGCGCGCGAAGTCGTACCCCACATATGACGCGTCGTCCTCCTCGGTGGCCGCCGAGCTCTCCCAAAGCAGCGGGGTCCTCGCGGAGACTTTGGGTGCAGTCCTGAGGCGAGGCTGCGCGACTTGAAGCTGACCGAGACTTCTTCACAGACGGGTTTAGGGTTTAGGATTGAGGGCTTAGGGTTTACGGGGTTTAGGGTTTGGTTTAGGGCTTGCCGCGGCGCAGTTCCGACGAAAAAAAACATTATCATCATCACCATCATCATCGTCATCATCATCCTATTCATCATCAGCATCCGCATCAGTATCATCAGTACCACCATTGTCATCATTACCATCAGATTCACCACCACCATCATCAGCAACATCAGAAGCAGCATCATCGTCTGTATCTCCATCAGCATAACGTACGCATCTCCATCATCATTAGAATCTTCATTATCGCCACTCATCAGCATCAGCATCAGCATCAGCATCAGCATCACTCATCATCACCACTATCAGCATAATCGTCAGCAGCATCAGCATCAGCATCATCATACTCATATTCACCAGCCTAATCATCATCACCATCATCATCACTCCTCCGGATGTATAACCAGCATCACCCATCAGTTTCATCAGCAACAGCAACATCATCTCTCATTATCCTCCTCCCACCTTCTTCTCCTTCTCCTCCTCCTCTTGTTCCTCCCCCTCACCAGCATCATCATTCTCTTTCTCCTCATCACCATCATCATCCTCACCATCAGCATCATCAGCATTAAGATCAGCATCATCATCATGATCATCATCATCGTCATCATCATTATCACCATCGTCACCGTCATCATCATCATCATCATCATCATCATCATCATCATCATCACCATCATCACCATCACCATCACCATCGCCCATCACCTTCGCAATCATCAGCATCATCATCAGCATCAGCGTCATCATTGTCGTACTCAAACTCATCATCAGCTTTAGCATACGCGTCATCATCACTCATCATCATCGTCATCCTCAGCATCATCATCCACAACATCATCACCATCAGCATCATCAGTCAGCATGATCATCATCATCATCATCATCATCATCATCATCATCATCACCGACATGATCACTCATCCTCCTCCTCCAACATCCTCCGCCTCTTCATGTTCCCCCCCCCTCATCACCATCATCGTCTTCGTCCTCCCCCTCCTCCTCACCACCATCATCATCTGCATGATCCGCATCATGATCATCCTCATGACCGTGAGCAGCATACTCACCATCAGCGTCACCAGCATCAGCAATCAGCATCATCATCTTTATCATTCCCATCGTAATCGTCATCATCATCCTATTCATCACCACCATCATCACCAATAGCATCCGCATCAGTATCATCAGTACCATCACTGTCATCATCATCATCATCATCAGCATCATCATCATCATATTCACCACCACCATCATCAGCAACATCAGAAGCAGCATCATCGTCTGCATACCCATCATGATGACGTACGCATCTCCATCATCATTAGAATCTTCCTTATCATCACTCATCATTACCATCACCATCATCATCATCTGCATATGAATCACTCATCATCACCATTGTCAGCATGATCGTCATCAGCATCAGCATCATCATACTCATATTACCAGCCTACTCATCATCATCAACATCATCAGCATCATCATCATTATCACCATCATCATCCTCATCAGCCCTCCGAATGTATAACCATCATCACCCATCATCCTCATCAGCAACAGCAGCATCATCTCTCATTATCCTCCTTCCCATCGTAATCGTAATCGTAATCATAATTTCTTCTTCTCCTCCTCCTTCTCCTGTTCCTCCCCATCGTAATCGTAATCGTTATTACCATAGTCATACTCATCATCTGCATCGGCAGCATCATCATCGTCAGCATCATCATCAGCAGCATCATCATCGGCATCATCATGAACATAAACATAATCATTTCAGAGTCGTCTTCATCATTCAGCGTGTTCAACTCAGCGCGTTCATCACCATCATCACCCATTTTCAGCATCAGCATCATCAGCATCATCAGTCATCCTTCTCCCACCTCCTCCTCCTCCTCCTCCCTCTCCTCCTCCTGTTCCTCCCCCCATCCTCTTCATCATCCTCATTGTTATCATCATCGTGGTCGTCATCATCATCATCATCATCATCATCATCATCATCATCATCATCATCATCATCACCATCATCCGAATCATCGTCAGCATCGTCAGCATCATTACTATTGTTGTCAGCATCATCATCAGCATCATCAGCATCATCGTCATCGTCATCGTCATCATCATGATTGTTCTCATCGTTGGCGTCGTGGTCGTCATCATCAGCAGCAGCATCATCATCGATATCAAACGCACCTTCATGTTCACCAGCATCATCGTCAGTATCAGCATCGTGATGATACTAGCCATCATCAGCATCATTATCATCATCATCACCTTCATCATGTTCATCCGATTCATCATCATCACCATCGTCGTCAATGGCATCAACATAGTCAGCACTGCTGTCAGCATCACCATCTTCAATATGATCACCATCATCATCATCATCAACATCAACATCATCATCATCATCATCATCATCAGCAGCAGCAGCAGCAGCATCATCATCATCATCACTACTCGTTCTCCCCCTCCCACCTCCTCCTCCTCCTCCCTCCTCCACCTCGCCCTCCCTCCCTCTCCTCCCTCCTCCTCCCTCCTTCCTCCACCCGCCCTCCTCCACCCGCCCTCCTCCTTCTCCTCCCTCCCCTACCTCGCCTTCCCTCCCTCTCGTCCTGCCTCCCTCCTCCTTTCGCCCGCCGCCGCCCTTCCGCCGCCGGCCGCGCGCGTGCGTGCAGGGCGCGGCACAGGCGCGCGCCTCGTGGCTCCCGGGAAGGAAGAAGAGACGCCCCGGGCCTCCTCCTCCTCCTCCTCCTCCTCCTCCTCCTCTCTCCTCTCCTCCTCCTCCTCCTCCTCCTCCTCCCTCCTCCTCCTCCTCCTCCCCCTCCCCCTCCTCCTCCTCCTCCTCCTCCTCCTCCTCCTCCTCCTCCTCCTCCTCCTCCTCCTCCTCCTCCTCCTCTCTCTCCTCCTCCTCTCCTCCTCCTCCTCCTCTCCTCCCCTCCCCTCCCCTCCCTCTCTCCCTCCTCCTCCTCCTCCTCCTCCTCCTCCTCCTCCTCCTCCTCCCTCCTCCTCCTCCTCCTCCCTCCTCCTCCTCCTCCTCCTCCTCCTCCTCCTCCTCCTCCTCTTCGGGCCCCGGATCGGTCGGTCGTTCCGAATTGCCGGGCAAGTGTTGTCCAAACTTGGCAGTGGCCGCTGTTGGGCGGGCGCCAGCGCCTTCTGAGAGGCAGCCTCCTTCCAAGAGGTCTCCTCCCCTCTTGTCAAGGGCAAAAAAAAGAGGCCCCTACCCTGGTTTACGAGGCGCTGTGCTCTGAAACTCCTGTGGGCTGACAAGGTAAACTCTGCGTGATGTGCCGCGTCCTGGCGGCTCCAGGCTTTGGGGGGTCCCAGGAGGTTTACAGACCACGCACTTGTAACCCAGGGTAGGGTCGTTTTTTCATCCCTCAATCTTGGTGTCTTCGCTTTGCCCCCGGGCCGTCGAACAACTTCTCGGGATGAACAGCCAGTGCCGAGGAAGGGATCCAGACATCCGGGGGTCCACGTTGTGAAAGAAACACCATGTCGGAGTTCTAGACGGGTTGGCCATTCGAGGCTGGAGGTTTGAGGTTCGAGAATTCCGATGGTTTTCGTCGTTTCCCGGCGGTTTTCCAGCCTCGGGGGCGCGTTCCAGCAGCCGCGCCTCTGCCGAGAGCGTTCCGGGGGTGCCCGAGTCGATCCGAACTGCCGCCAGAGACCCGAGCTATGACCCGCAAGCTGGACGACGAAGATCAATCGGGCCACGCGAAGGCCGGCCACAAGCCGAGGGGGGTAGGGGGAGGGGGAGGGGGAAGGCTTCTTAGAAGGAGGCTGGCCTTACATCTCTATTCCTCTTCCTATATTTTTACAAGCCCGGGCGGGGGGAAAACCCGTCCCCCCCCCCCCCCCCCCAAAACCGGACTCCTGGGATATGGGGCTTTGGGACCCTTCGGACGGGCCTCGAAGCGGCCCCCGGGCCTCGCAGGGCGTTTTGCCAAGCCTTCGCAGCACACCTAGGGCAATCAGGGGGGTCATCTGAGACGTCCTGGAGAACCCTAAGACAGCACAAGAGCGCTCCAAGAAGCCGCCATACCCCGAAAGATAGCTCTAAAACGTACCAAGAGGCCTCCAAGAGCACCCCCAAGAAGGCCCCAAGAGGGAAACATCATTGATTTAATATAGGTTTTTGGTGAATTTGGGGTTCTCCTCTTTTCAACTTCCCGACGCTCCAAGACAGTGGCCTTCTGGGCGTCCGAGGTCGCCTGGGAAGCTCCAAAATCGCCCCACAGCC